TATTATATGATGGCTGTGTGCACAGGGTTTTTGAATTTGTCTGGTATTTATAGACTAGAGCAGTGCGAAACAGACCACGTGCTAAAATAAATACTTGCCATACAGTGTAGGTACGTCTACGTTAATTTTGGGTATCACGAACGATTGGCTATTTTAAATCACGGTATCATTTGTCAACAATCGACTCATTATAACCACGGCGGAAAGGCGCGGTTGTCGCACTATCTATGCACTTATCAATTGTTGTCTCGCTTTCCCTTCCCCTCTCCCTTTCCCCTCCTCCTCTCCTCACGGCAATGCGGGGAATTGTTTTAACGTACATCCCCGGCAAATTCCTACCGTTAAAATGCCCCCCTAAATGAAGGTCTAGTCTCGTCTATGTCTGAATCGGAGAACACGTGAGCGCTAGGCAGGAGCTAACCAAGGAGGAGATGGAAGCACTACGCATGCGTATCACTAGGCAGATTCCCATGGAAGTTTGGAAAAGTGTGAAGAGGGGAATGTATTGCTTGGCCATTAAAAAAGAAAATTTTTACGCAGAACAATCACGTCACATCGGTCCTCATCGTTTTGTAGTGGGAGCTTGACATTTTATTATGTACAGTAATTTATACCGCATATAGTACCGGTTGCGATTTTTAAATTACCAAAACACACAGCAATTGCTGAAAGCCTAGGGTAGGATAGGTAGGACTAGACCATTTGACAGCACTACTGTACACCGAAACCTTGGTCCTTTCGAGGCCAATTTTAGGTACGTACCGGTACTACAGGGACACAATTATGTACCTCCCCGGCTTAGTCCCGGCTAGTGCCCCGCTATGACCCGGCTTCTGGGGGGCCGGGACTACAATTGACAAGTACATTAATTAGGAGGATTTGCAGAGGAAATCACCGACAAGAGACAAGTTTCAAGCAAGCGACCCGGTTTCTTATCAGAGGCGCGGTTGTGCTCTTATTACCTAAAAGATAACAGGTTTGTTAAACTGAGACAGTCACCATTGGCAACGGGAATTTTGGCTGTTGCCCGATACAGAGGTTCCCATAGTAGTGTAGAATATTGTTGAGTGTCTGTTTCATTTGATTACCACTCCCTTACTTGTTTGTAGTTTGGTCTGCGTTGACGATGACTTGTTAATTAATTGTTAATTTGACAAGCCTGCGTCAAATAAACAGTTTGTCTGAACCGTTATTAGCGTTAGACGCGTCGAGATTTCGGACGTATTCAGGACGCATCGTGGACGAATTCAGGATGCGTCAGATGCGTCTAAAACGTGCAGCATTTATGGACGGTACTGTACCATATCAAATCATGTTAAGGGATGTGCTCTTTAGTTTAAGCACCACTTGATACTTATTCAAAATAGGATATAACAAGCACATCATGTTCGGAACAGCGCTTATTTTAGAGGGTTGGTAATTTACGATGTGCAATATTAAATAAATTATATGAGGCATTGGCAGGGGCTAGCATTGAACAACCTGGTGTATGGCTCGTAAAATGCCTCGTAAAGAAATTGAATGTTACTCATTCACAAAGAGAATGCTACTACCTCTCTTTGTATTTAACTCATTCATACATACATCCAATAAACTTGCTTGTTAATGTAATGGTAAATAAATATTTAACTATGGTTACAGATTGTCTTATAATAAAATAATTAAACTAATACACTTGGTATCATATTTTAGTGATGCAAATAATTATTATAGGATTTAATTGAAATTTAATGTTTTGTTTTCACTTAGGTAAAAAGATGCCCTTGTTGTTGACCAAATTGGTTTTGACATGTTTTTTTTTTCCATATAGCTGCCCTTGAATCTAGGATAGAAGCGACTGGTAGTGTCTCTAAGGCAACCACAACCACACTTTTACCGACAGTCCAATCAATACAGACAGAAACAAAGTTCAAGAAAATTCCATCAGGTATGATTATTTAAGAAAGTATAATACATACTCCAAGTATTGAAATACACGCCATTGTGTTGGGATTCAATATTTCGACATTAATTATGTCATCATCAGGAATGAGAATGATTATTTGTTACTGTACATTATGATAGATAACACCTACTTGCTGTAATTAGATACTTAAACCTCCTATTGGGTGACCACCATTGGCCCAGGAAAATTGTTATTGTGCAAGAAGTAGTTGCAGGCTATTATATTGAAGGGAAGAACATTTTTTTTTTTTTTTTTTATGGGGACAGAACATTGATGTTTGAATGTAGGCCTATAAGATAGGCCTATAGCAACTACAGACTACAGTAATAAAATAATAGAAACACAGTCCAAATTCCAAGTCCAAAATTGGGTGTGGTAGCTTACAGTACAAGAGAATTCAGATGAGTTTATTTGACTAAGTAGTTTAAAAGAAATAATTTACTACGGGCAATGGTCGGACAGGTGGTTTAAAAGCATTGTTAATGTGGCAGATGAAATTTAAATTTTATTTTTGAAGACTGAAATCTTTTTGTGTTTAATTAATTTTATGTTATAATACATTGGCTTAAAGATTTAAGCAAGACACTTAATTTACATGTTGAACCAACTGCTACATGTAAAAATTTTTTTTTTTTTTGTTCATAGAACCTGCAAGTACATCTAGCTCATCTACTGTTAGACCTGCGAGTGTTTCATCATCAACACTCAGCTCTTCCATTGTCTCATCCCAAAAGATATCCATGCAATCTGCAACACCTTCTCCTAAAATAACTAAGTCAATATCAGGAGGGCGATATACTCCTGGTAGGCAGAACGCAATGGGACCTATGGTGGCGCAGGAAAAAATAGTAGAACGTGCTAAACAGGTATAACAAGTCTCATTCATTTTGTGTAGTTACATTTATTTTCTGTCATACACATGCATGTGGTAACTGGACAAGTACCTTTGGACTGCCTGATAATCAATAACAATTGAGTCAGCAAAAAATTATGTAAACATTTCTATCAAGGTTCAATGTTAAATAGTCTATTTATGTTATCACGTTATATATTTCTTTATGAAACATTAAGATGTATTGTAAATGCAATTTGTATGATTTGAATTAGGATAGCAGGGTTGGCAGGTGTAAAGCCCTGCTATCCATGGTTTTTTAACTATTGACACCCATAGTCTCATCCGAAATCATTCAAACTCCTCCCCCACCCCCAGCCTTGGAGACTTAAGCTTAAGATTGGACGGCCAAACGCTATTCGACGGCCAACTGTCTTGCAACGCAGTGAGCGTCTGACTTAAGTTATAGAGCGTTGTTGTCTCACTACTTTCCCCATCAACCAATTAATCTATGAATTCTGTATTTGATTTTTTAGGAAGCCCAGGTTATGCAAAGGATAGGGCAGTTGAGGAAGGAGGGTCTTTGGTCTGCTCGTCGATTGCCTAAGGTACAGGAACCACCAAGGCACAAGACCCACTGGGATTACTTACTGGAAGAGATGCAATGGTTAGCAGCAGATTTTGCTGGTGAAAGGCGATGGAAAAAGGCTGCCTCACGAAAGGTTGGATTGAATGTTGTATTTATATAGTTTCCTCTGCAACATACTAAATTTTTATTTTAATAGCACATGTGGCACATTGTCTGTAAGTGTACATAAGAAGTAGCAAAGTAAGCTAAAACAGGAAATGAACTGCACTAACTTTAAATTAGCAAATAAGCAGGGCTAGACATATCATTTCACAATTCTATCATATAGCTGGCTAGCCATGCTAGTGATTTTATGTCAAGTGATGATGCCTAACATTGTAAATTTCACAAAATATTTGACTGGTGTTTGGCCTTTCGAGCTATTAAATTTAGTGGAGCCAATTTTACAGTGGCCATTTCTGAAGGGAAAGATAGATCACTGTCCTTTGGAAAAACCTAAAAGAAAATCTAGTGTTTCATATTCTGGCTCTTGCCAAAAAAATATTTGTTTTGTGAGGATATTGAAGTAATGTTAATATGCATAGATATGCAGATTGTTTAATCAAAACTCTACCTTAATCTGTAAACTTTTTCTCTAACAGCTGGTAAGATCTGTTGCTAAGTACCATCAAGAATGCAAAGCCAAGATGTTGAAAGCTGAACGTGATGAAGCATCTAGAATGAGGAGGATTGCCAGTAACATTGCCAAAGAAGTTAAACAGTTCTGGTCAAATATAGAAAAGGTTGGCTGCATTATTTGTATTAATTATAATAATGTGATTTGGTTGTACTCAATCAATGTACGGTGTTGCAATTGACATTTTGTATTGGATTAAACTGTTGGATTAAATCTATCGAAGCATTGGCAGGGGCTAACGTTGACTTTTTAATGTCTGGCTCGTAAAATGCTTCGTAAAATAATAGATTATCACTCTCAAGAGAAAAAAATACACTTTCTTTTGTATTTAATTTGATCTTACAATTTTTTGGTAACTAAATTTATGTTTACTCAAGAACTACAGTTTAAAAAATTGAATGTGTTAAATGCCATAGTAATTAGCAGTTCAAAGCAAGGAAAATATGAGAAGACCTTCATTTCTTCGTTTTTTTTTTTTTCTTAACATGCTCTTTGTTTTTGTTCCAAACTAGCCAGAATACAATACTGTTTTTCAGATGATGTGTATGGTTTTATAGCGCATGTGTAATATTTAATATATGTTTCCTTATTATTTGTTTTTCAGATGATGTATATTGTTTTATAGTGCATGTGTAATATTTAATAATTGTTTCCTGATTAATTTTTTTTTTTTTTGGTTAGGAGTCATTTGCTTTAATTACATACTAGAGTTATCCTAGTTCCATCTGTTATTTTGTAATCTGACATTTTTCATAAATGGTATTAGTAACATTCCTTATTGTTTTGTTTTTTTCATACAGGTAGTGCAATACAAACAACAAAGTCGGTTGGATGAGAGGAGGAAGAAAGCTCTTGACTTGCAACTTGATTTCATAGTTGGTCAGACAGAGAAGTATTCTTCATGGTTAACAGAAGGCTTGAACGTCAGTACGGCTGGGTCATCCGTAGGATCCATTCCACCCAGCCCTACAAGATCCACTGGAGGGGGTACAGGGGATGGTAAGTCAATATTTCTGTGCTCTAGGTATTTGACAAGGGGGTTTTTATGAGAATAGCTTTTAAATTTAAAAAATTACTCTTCCTTTTATTTAGCTGAAGTTTAGTATCCTTAAGTTAAATATCAATGGCTAATTGTGTTTTCGATGTAGATGGGGAATTCCAACCTGATGCAGATGAGTCTGATGACGAGACAACAATAAGGGTGGAAGAGGAGGAGGCAGGAGCAAACCTAGAGTCTGAGGAAAATGAGCTAGTTTTACTAGAGAAAGAGAGCCAATTGCCCATACAAGAACTGTTGGACAGCCTACCACCAGAAATCCTGGAAAAACCTGCAGACTTAGATGTAATGGCAGAGGACTCGGCAACAACAAAGGTATTAATATATAAACATTACTGGTGTTAATATATAAACATTATTTTTTTAAAAATTTATATTGTTCAGAAATTACAAAATCTATTTGGCTTTTGAAAATTTTATGAAGCAAATTTATTTCACTTAATTCCAAATCCCCTCCAGCTACCAAAAGAGATATAACCATTTTTACATTGGCCGTTTCCTAAAAGGAAATCTGTTTCTATTCTGACTCCTGCCAAAGGGTACACACTACCTACAATTATTTTAAAAGTGATCTAACACAATTTTGGTTTTTAATAATCCTTTGAAACAAGGTGAATATTTCTAACATTGTATTGTGATGTCTTTTTGTCGCTAGGAGTCGAAGAGAAAAGATGAAGAGTTTGTTCCTACTGATGAAGAGGAAGAAAATAGTGGTGAGTAAAATGTATCAAAAGGAATTACAAAATCAATCTTCTTCCATTTTTAATTGGAAAATTAATAGACTATAAATAGTTATTATTGTTATTACATGTAATTCTTACAATCCCCTCCAGCTACCAAGTGATATAGAAATGTTTTCACATTGGCCGTTTCATAGGGGAGAGATTGATCAGAGACCTTTGGAAAAACCTAGGAGGAAATCTATGTTTTCATTCTGGCTCCTGCCAAAGGGTACATGTAATGTAAAACAACCATAGTTTACTTTAAGTACCCATCCTTTACACTATGTTTTACTAATGTATTCCTGTAACAAGTTGTTGGAGCTGGCGCTCTCACACCAGCAGTCAGTTATGATAGAAGCACAAATTGCTAATATTTAAATAAGCATTTAAGCATTATGTGCAGCTGTTAGTAAAATCTTTTGCACGGGTCCTGCTTTTAACTAAAATCTATCCTTCTTAGTTGTTGATGATGAGGAAACTTTAGAAGAACAAGAAGATGCAGAAGGAAGTCAGGATCACAAGGCGGAACTGGATGAACTTGCAGCGGAAGGAGAGCTTTCCATTGAAGAACTCATGGAGAGGTATGCTGGGGCATATACTCAGGAAGCACAGTTGGATAGTGATGATGAGGAGGAAGAAGAGGAGGAAGCTGATGCAGAAAGCTTCACTGAAGGTAAACATCTTATGTTGGCATACACTGACAGATAAGTGTTGTGGATTAGGTAAATATTACTTGCACATTTTCCAAATCCCTTCCAGCTACCAAGTGAAATAGCAACGTTTTCACATTGGCCGTTTCATAGGGGAGAGATTGATCCCAGTCCTTTGGAAAAACCTAGGAGGAAATCTATGTTTCCATTCTGGCTCCTGCCAAAGGGTACACACCTTATTTTAAAAATAAAATACTTGCTTTAAGAGCCTATTAACCAGTAATTTTATGTGACTGATTTATGTTAACTACATAACACTAAACTGCATGTACTTTGGCATTACCTATGTGTACGACATGATTGATTTTGTGCGTATTACGTTACTGATGTGTGCATACTGTGTCATCATTAACCTGCATAGTATTTTGGACAATAAGATTAATCTTGTTTCTACTGTGTCATTGATATGTGTGTGCTGTAATTGACTGCATTATAAATAATCCTTTATTTTTTAAGGGTAAAATTGTATACAGAAAATACCTTGACAGTGAATCTCCACTGCAGTGGTATTGATATTCTCCAAAAAGTGAATGATTAGTAATGATATGAGGCTTGCCACCCCAAAACCAGCATGAGTGACCAACAAATGAAAATTGACTTTTAATGTATTCTTATCCTCCGTATTATAAGCTTAAAATAATCGGTCATTGAATGTAATCGATTTATTATTTCCAATGTTATGAGGAAACATATTAGGATTTCTCTTAAAAGTATACAATAGTACCACATTCTTATACTAATTAATCAGTTTAACATATAGAGGCAACATGTTGGTTTTGGAATGGCATGCCTCATAGGTCAGTCTTATATAGCAAAAAGTGCAGTTAACATTAATACCTTGGTTTATTGGATCAAACGCCTTATGAAGTGAATCTTCCACTGTCTGGGGGAGGAAGATTGCAGCTATTAATTAAATGGTGGCATTCAAACTCATTCATTTAAAGTACTTTTAATTTGTTGTTCTCAAAAGAATCTGAAGACTCATCTGATGAGTATGATGAATTAGAAGATATTGAGGATGAAGATGATGCAGAATGTGTTGATAACAAAGATGGGGAGGCAATGGATATTGAGTACCTACTCAACCCAGACAAAGAAAATAAGCAACCAGTTGATGAAACGGTAATCTTTTTGTAACATTTATACATATATAGACATCATTAGTTAAAGGATTTATTTATTTTTGTATTCTCTGGGTCAATGGCTTTTAATTAAACATTCTGAGCATTGCTCGCATTGGATCTGTCTAATTAAAATAAGTTATCTTTATTAATTTTCAGAGTTCGAGTGACAGCAGTCCAAATAATGAAATCACAGAATTTGCTGCCACTGCACAAAGTCTGCAACCTACTGGATATACATTAGAGACTACCTTGGTAAGAGACTTATTAAAAAGATGGTTTCTTTTGACATTTTAGACAATGTTGGTATCATTATATCAAAGAACAAATGATATCAACATTCCTGGAGTAAAATTCTGTAATTAATAAGATTTGTCTTCTTTCCCAGACTCATTTTAAGGAGGCACCATTTAAAAGGCAATTGATTGTTATTATAATATAAATGTTTGAAATTGCTAGTATGTTTTAAAAGATAGAGAACTATTGCAAATATGTTGTTGTAAACGAAAAATGTGTTATGGACCAAATTACTTTATGGTCTGTAAAAACTATTTTAAAAAATTGCTGGGATCATTTCGTCTACATTCCTCACTATTCTGAATTTTGTATTTTTTAATTGTAGGTTAAAACTAAAGTTCCATTTCTATTACGTCACACTCTACGCGAGTATCAACACATTGGTTTAGACTGGCTGGTCACTATGCATGAAAAGAAACTAAACGGTATACTTGCTGATGAGATGGGCTTAGGAAAAACAATACAAACCATTGCTGTTCTGGCACACCTAGCTTGTGAAGAAGGTATGTGATATTGCCATCAATGGTGTGCCTCTTGATAAATGAGCATGTTGCAGGAATGATAATTTCTTACTACTAATAAGATGATCTGTATAATTGATTATATAGTTGTCTGTTTTATGTTGAATGTCTACAGGCAATTTGGACAGGTCTGCCCAATGCAAGCTTACAGCCTTGTTATATTCTGCAATATTCAAATATATATTACTGAAATGGAATATTTGTAAATTATGAATAACAAAGTATTTATTTTCAATATATAAAGCACAAAATATTAAAAATACATTGTGCATTTATGTAAATGAAGCATTTTTTAGGATACTGTGCTTGTGCAATATTCTATGCTGTAGTAGTGGAATTCTTCTGTAAAGGGGAATGTGTAAACATTTCATTTCATGCTGTGGTAGTTTGTGCATCAATATCATGTTTACATATTTGTTCATTCTGTTTGTCAGGTATATGGGGACCTCATCTTATAGTTGTTCCAACTAGTGTAATGTTAAACTGGGAGATGGAGTTGAAAAAGTGGTGTCCTGCCTTTAAAATCCTCACATATTATGGTTCCCAAAAAGAACGCAAGCAAAAGCGACAGGTAAGTATTTTAAGTAACATTTATTTATAATATCATATTTGTGTGTTATTACTTAAACTTGCATCTTAATTACTGTAATACAGAGTGATGATGTTCAGCAAAACAGGAAAGCAAAGCTTCCAAGAATTGCAAGCAAACTTATTTTATAAATACATATATAAATAATTAAATATTAAATAAAAAAAGGATGAAATATTAAAATATAATTATGTTTTGTGTTATATTATTTTATTGATTGCTGGAATGGTTGTATGCTATTTTACAGGGTTGGACTAAGTGCAATGCATTCCATGTTTGTGTAACATCATATAAGTTAGTGATCCAAGATCATCAAGCTTTTAGGAGGAAAAAATGGAAGTACCTTGTATTAGATGAAGCACAAAATATTAAAAATTTCAAATCACAAAGGTAAGGAACTGATGATTGATTGATAGATAGATAGATATAAAGTGCACCCTCCAATTCGAGACGCCTCTAATTCAAGTCCACTTTTCCAAAGACCCAAGTAATAATTGTCAACCTTTTAACACAAAGCTAGCCCTCTAATTGGAGACCAACCTCGACACCACCCCAAATTTTCAGGTCCCAAAGGTGGTCTAGTTTTGAACACCGGAAGGAATTCTGCTATTCTGGTTCAGTCAATTGATACGCCAGGGCATATAATAGCATACTTGTTAATTGTTGTTTAAATTTATTGTGAACTTTAACATTTTGTGTTTTCTCTGCTTATGTTCACATGCTTTATTTGTCCATAAATTTAACATGTTTTCCATTGACACTAAATTGTAATTGTTTGCTTTTGTTTTCAGGTGGCAAACGTTGTTAAATTTTAACAGCCAGCGTCGTTTGCTCCTCACTGGTACTCCACTTCAGAACAGCTTGATGGAACTCTGGTCTCTGATGCATTTTCTTATGCCGCATGTCTTCCAATCTCATCGGGAATTTAAGGAATGGTTTTCAAATCCTGTTACAGGAATGATAGAAGGGAATACAGATTATAATGAAGGACTAATCAAGAGACTGCATAAGGTAGCATAATACACAGTTCACTTGCACAAATCCAACCAAATGTAACGGCTTGTAACAAGGATTGTTGCGTCTGAATATTATATTTGCATGTATAAATCTCAAGGTTTTGTTTATTAACACTTCAGCCTCAAAGATGCTGGTAATCAAGATGTTACAAGATTATATCTGGGTTGTTCAGTAGTGTTTTCATTTATTTAAACACCACATATTACTCATAACCTCCCTTCCAGCTACCAAGTGAGATAGTATTGTTTTCACATTGGCCGTTTCATAGGGGAGAGATTGATCAGAGTCCTTTGGAAAAACCTAGAAGGAAATCTATGTTTCTGTTCTGGCTCCTGCCAAAGGGTACATGCTAGTTTAAATAAATTGGCTCCTGCCAGTTGACACACTCTAGTTCATTGTTATGATCTAAGTTTAAATAAATATATTTATATCAAGACAATTATTCAAATATAACAGCTTTGCTAATCAAATTTACACGTAGCAAATTTAGTAGAGTACATCAGTAAAAAAATCAGGTTTTGTCACTTACCTAGGTATTGTATATTGCTGTACTACTATTATCCTCATTGCAGCAGTGCTGATGCGACAGTTCGCATATCTCTTTGCCTCAAGGATAGAGAAATTAAGCCTTACTGAACTAGTGTATTATAACTGAACCTTCAATTTGAATACCCTTTTTCCCTGTAGGTTTTGCGACCATTTCTGTTGCGTCGGTTGAAATCTGAAGTGGAGAAACAGCTACCAAAGAAATATGAGCACATTGTTACCTGCAGGCTTTCCAATAGACAACGCTACCTCTATGAAGATTTTATGTCCAGAGCCAAGTAAGTATTATACGCAATTTTCCACATGAATTTTAATCAGACCAATGAAATTTAACATAGCCACACCACATATTACTCTGAATCTCCCTTCCAGCTACCAAGTGAGATAGCATTGTTTTCACATTGGCCGTTTCATAGGGGAAAGATTGATCAGTGTCCATTGGAAAAACCTAGAAAGAAATCTATGTTTCTGTTCTGGCTCCTGCCAATGGATACACTCTAATCCAATATCAAGCACAAATTTATGTGACATATTTGTGTGATGTGATCATATAAGGATGTCATTAGTTATTTGCCACATACACTGAGTGTAGACAGAGCTTAGGTAGAATAACTTTTAACTAAATGTGCCTCAATTCTTCTAGAACGAAGGAAACGCTAGCAAGTGGACAGTTTTTGAGTGTTATTAATGTTTTGATGCAATTACGGAAAGTGTGCAACCATCCAGACTTGTTTGAATTAAGACCAATCGTATCGTCGTTCACAATGGAAGGCATAGTGTATAGAACAGCTGCACTTGTCCTCAAGGCATTGGAGTATGATCCATTTAAGGTATTGAACCTTGAAAAAATATGTTACAGCCAACACTATATATAGCTTTTGTATTTTTAATTTTGTAATTTAACTGCATGAAATTTTCTTTGCTAAATGAATATTGAATTGACATTACCAGGCACTTAACAAATGTTTAATAAACTTTCAAACTAAAAACTGATTATTATTGTAATTTTGTTTTCTGTATTGTTATTGTTCCTTTTATAAGAGTTGTTTCATATCAGTGTTTACAGACATCCTATTCTGCAATTCTGTTTTATTTGTTTTATTGTTAATATTATAGACAGCCATTTAATATTCTGCTGCTGAATACAATGTGTGTGTTCATAGATGTAAAATAGGTATTGACAAAAATGCAAGTTTAGAAATTATTATACGCTGTTGATTTTTCTTTCAGCATATAAAATTTGAATCATTTAATCTGTGTCTAGCTGATCATGAACTAAATTTGCCCGCTTATGCTGCTCATCGAATCAAACAGCTGCAAACGCCAAGACCTCTCATAGAAGAAATTGACTCCCTCCCTGACCCTCCAGCAAGACCAAACAGAGTCAAGGTCAAACCTGGCAAACTCTTTAGTCACATTCCAAACAAAGAAACCGGACGAGTGTCCCCATTTTCTGTTGCTTCTACCACAGCCAGCAATGCCAATGTTTCTCTCAGCACACAGCCCTTAACCACGGCTGTGCAGGGTGGAAGATCATCACCTGTAGTGAGTCATATGCTGATTAAAACCTCTAGTGGAACCATCATCCAACGTACTGCAGGCTCATCTGCTCAAGGTAATTTTATTCCATTATTCATTTTTACTTTCACTGATTCATTTTCAGGAAAGAACTATTCTCTGGAACCAAACTCCACTGCCATCCATTATGTAACTCTTTCTCTTTTTGAACACTGATACTCTGGTAAGGAGCGCTGTATATGTACTCAAATATTATTTAATTTCTGCTAGGGTTGTTACTGGGTGTTTCTAGTCAGCAGCTGACAAGTGGCAGTGTGTCGATAACTACTACTGCAAGTAGTAGTGTGGCCTCAACAGTCGCCTTGGTTTCGCAGCAAGCAGTTCCAACCACCACACAGTTACAGCAGCTACCAGGCTACACAATACCATCAGGCGGTGTATTACAGCAGCGACTGATACTTCAACCACAGGTAAACTCAAAGCTCCCTTTGATGTCCTAGCAAATTGTTCCTCATTCCTATATTTTCATGAACTTGAAATTTGTCATGTATTTTTAAAGAGGGAATTTAGATGTTTTTACTATCAAATAATCATTTTAAAAAAGCAGTTATTAATAATTGGTACACTATATGGCTTGCAAGATGCAACTTACAGAATACATCACTGTACTGTTGCTTTATACGGCCTAGAGAAATCCGACTTCCTGGTCACGAGCTAAGACGAGCTGTTAATGCTCTCTTGGACCTCAAAATGGGAGACAGTCAAATGTGTACATCGGTATTATTAAAAAAAATATATATTAAAAAAAATTGTTCTTTCTATTAAGTAAAATTGATTAAACTAAAGAAGCATTAAAGGCTTGTTTATAATAAAATATTTGCTAACTAAACCATGTTAATATAGAACGAATACATGTCTGCTGATAATAAAGAGATAAAGATAAAAAATTTTTTTTTTTTTAATTGTTCTTTCTATGAACACTTTCACCTACAAATTTTATAAACAAATTTTCAATTTTTTATAGTGACAGAAATGTAATTAAATATCATTTTCTCTATAATGAGTAATAAAATAATGTTTGATAGCAAATAAAAATTAATAATTTTTTTCCCCTAAATACGCTACTATTTAGTCTTGTGAAATTATTTTTTTAAAAATTAATTATTTTAATTAATGTTCATAAATAATTTTGAAAAAAATATTAAAAATACCTAGTCAACAGCCAAAAATAAAAAAAAAAATTTATCTCCACATCAGCACAAATTATTCCTTTACAAAAAAAACTAAATTTGAATTTATTGATCAAGAACTTTGGAAGAAAAAAATTTAAAGAATTTAAAATTTTAATTTTAATACAGAGATATGTCTGATTATTCTTAATAGGGTGGTGGTCGCACTCAATTCTTAACCCATCCAATCACAGTTCAATTACAAGGGCAACATGGAACAAGGATAGCATTGCCTGCTAGTCAAATACGTCAGATACCACAAGGTAGGGCAATTACATGGTATGGCTATGAATTTGATGACAATGACATAAATGGTGGTGAAGATAATGTTGATTATATGATAGATTTTAAAGTAATCATTCCTGATGATGACATAATTAATGTTGAAATATTGAATCCCAACACGATGGCGTGTATTTCAATACTTGGAGTATGTATTATACTTTCTTATCTGAGATTAATCAGTGGACCTTTCGGTTTTTATGATAGATTTTGTTCTATATAATTTTGAATACAAAAAAAATTATTGTTAAATGTTCATTTTGCACTGTTACTCTAAAATGTGATTAAAATTATGTAATAATTACTGATTTACATGAAAGTGCAATAAGCAGTCTATGAAATGAACTGCAATGTACAGAAATGTAATTTGCAATAAATGTATTTATTATTAGGAGGTATAGTGCAAATAGTTCAGACTGCCAGCGGTCAGCAGATTCTACGAGGTGTCCAGCTTGCAACGACTACTCAAGTTGGTCAGTCATCTACAAATCAACAGCTGCTTACAACCAGTCGGTCTGGTTCACCTCAAATCCAACTATTGGCGCAAGGAATAAGAACCACCGCCCAGTCACCGAGAATGACGCAACTTCTCATAACAACCTCAGCAGGTATATCAGTCTGCTGGTCTTGACATAGATACGTAGTGACTATTACACAGTACTTAGCTTCTGCTGTGTAGTACCTAGGTCTTATTATACAGTGCTAGGCTTCTATTGTATAGTATTCTTAAGCCAGGCACCAACTGCGCCATACGAGGATCGTACTACCGTTGCATGGCGAATAAAATTCCTTTTCCTTTCAGCACTGTCATCTGAACAGATCTTCATTAAAAACAATCTGTTTCACGCGCGCGTCATCGTGTTGCGTTCTTTATAGGTTCGCATCAGCCAACAACCGTTGGCCGCAGTGAGTGGCCAGCTTTACTGTACAGTACTTTGTGTTGTTAGATAGTGATTGGCTCTTATTACTTAACACTTGGTTCCTATATTTACATAGTAATTGGCTTCTATGATTTAGTACATACTACTTTGCTCCTATTGAGTAGTACTTGTCTTCTATAACACAGTGCTTCGCTTTTATTGCTCAGTTTTTGGCTTCTATTGCAGAGTACTTGGTTTCTACTACATAATAATCATAACTTGCATATATTAATTCTTCACATTCCTACTAGGAGTCAGCTCAAGTCCCAGCCATGTGATTAAGTCTTCAACAGCAGCTGCTCAATTACTAAGTGCTGTAAACACTGTGTCCTCAGCAGGAAAGCTTCATCTCGGCAGCAACCTACCTGCCTCAATGAGACCGGTTGTCCGTGTGTCGCCACTTAATTCTGACAGCTTACCTCCTACCGCTACCTCTATTCTTTCAAAAGGTATGCTAAGTGCATATGAATAATTATTAGTTAAAAAATAATAATGTGCAGAAGATGGTGGGTGATTCTATTAACTAGTGAAGCACACAGGTTCTACATTATTGTCGTTTGTATTGGTAACACCACATGTACACCATCTGGCTTGCAAGATGTAGCTTACACATTGTATCAGTGTACTGTTGCTTTATACGGCCTAGAGAAATCAGACTCCCTGGTCACGAACTGAGATAAGCTGTTAATGCTATCTTGGACCTCAAAAAGGGAGACAGTCACTTCTTTGTTAAGTATGCACCACTCTGCTACTAAGTATATACTTATGATAAATGGTTGATATCCTTATTTACAGTGTCATTAGCAAGTTCACAAACTAAAGCAGTAACAACAAGTGGTTTGGTTCTTAAAGTTGCACCACAACCAGTTAGTTCCATTCAAACGTCGTCTGCCAGTCTTATATTAAATCATCCATCACTGACCACAAAACAGACAGTCTCCACAACAATGTCGCGAAAAGATCTGACCCCGATGGCAGTAGTGTCCCCAGCAACTGCCATCAAACCGACCCCGGTGGTTACCATTACTAGCAGCTCATCAACGGATCCAAAATTGGATGTGAAAGCTATAACAACCACTTCAGATACAATCACAACTAAAGCTGCGTCTGGCAGCGTTGCGACTATTGTTACATCGTTGACTGCACCCAAGACCAGCACAACAAGTTTGTCAAAAGGAAGATTAAGGACTCGTAAAGAAAAAGCAGTAGATCCGGAACCCAAGAAGTCACCTCTGTACCTTGTAAGTCAAAGATCATCAAAATGCAAAATTCCAGACAATACAACTTCATCTTTAGCATTTTAAGTGCACGTAATAATAATTTTCGACTTATATAGCGCATATTGTAGAGACCTATGCGCTTTAGCATTATTACCCCCGGTCATTGGACCAAGCACAAAAGAAACACATTCTCAGGTCCCCAGTAGAGTAGAGGGTCTTAGCTAAAATATGAGTATTTTTATTGCAGGAATCTATTGTAAAACACCGAAAAGATTGTCACAAAGCAACACTGACAAGAATTGCAGACATAAATCGCTGGCGCTGCGGAGCAAAACCTGTGTATGGTCAAGATCTCTGCCGTGCTGTGTCCATTATTAACTGCCTAGAAACGCCTAAAGAACTCAAGAACATTTTCAGAGGCGTTGGATATTTTACTTGCCATAATACGTACAATCATCCATCACCTAACCATTCAAAGGTTTTCTTTAAGACAACAAAGTTTTTGGAAGAAGCCATCCAAACACCTGAAACAAAAATTCAGCATCTTCAACCAATCTTCAAAAGGTAAAATTCAGTCATTTTGTTAAAAAATCAGATTAAGAAAATCACAATTCTTTCAAATCAATTTTTTTTTTTTTAGTTAGAATTTATTTCATCAATATCTCATCACCAAAAAAACACAAATATTTATAATTACCACTTTATCCATGGATTTTGATACAAATATTTGTAGTTTGTCTGTAGCTAACATGCTGAAATTTAAGACCGCCAGCAGTTAAATCTTGCAATTTGTAGATGATAAATATCCTAAACATCATCCTAGAATTTGAATTACTTGGCAAGTTACATGAACACCATATGGCTTTGCTGCAAATCTTGGCAAGATATAATTATATTGTATCCTTTTTATGTGTTATAATTATCACTGAATTCATTGATGTGTAGGTTTATGATGACTGTTAGTCCAACCTGGTCATCAGGAATCAGTATCCATACATCCCCAGCAGATTCCAGTGCTGTACTCCACCATAACTATATCCAAGAAGTCTTAAGCGAGGAGTTAACACCTAGGACTCGATGCCTACATGAATTACAGAGTGCCACAAGGCTACAATTCCCAGAGCTCAGATTAATACAGTATGATTGTGGTAAGTATATAACAATTTACTTCAGTTAATGTTGTCGGTCTCATCGTTGTTAAATGCAAATAACAGTGGTGTGTCCAAATTGGAATTTATGTATCCTGGCAGCAGTAGCTTAGCCAGAAAAATGAAATAGGCCGTCCAAAATGGAAGCCAGTGGACGTTGCCCTGAGCCAATAAGCAGGCCACGCCCCTCCCAAACATAAGAAAAAGATAGAAAATAAGGATTGTTGAAGGGCATTTAAAGCTGTTTAGATGTTGGAATTTTGTCTTCAAATTAATAGTGTCTATTAGCTATCACACTGATACGTTGTTATACAGTATACGTAGATTGCACACGGCTACGGTATTTCTAGGCTATGCAGATGCATCTTCATCTCTCTCTACGATCTAGTGTAAATTCTACTCTAGGTCCTCCAAATCCAGAGAAAGGCCTAGACCTATTGTATTTTGTTGACTAATACAATTTAACTTGTGAGCTTAGCAATAAATCTTCTTTATGATATTTCATGAATTAATTATAACCAGAGTTACCAACACCAACAATATTATGTCGGGGAACCGAATCTTAAGAGCCACGTTCATGTGCTGTGTGCGACTCCGAACTGTCCATTTTCCAGCGGGGTATAATAAATGTTTTTAACACGACGCGTGTTGTAAGTGAACTGTTCACCGGGTAGGCAATGGTAGCCTTGCATTTTGGGGAATCCCCACCAGATATTGGTATGAAAACAATGTATATTCAATCAATAAATGTTTTTATCAAACAAAATTTGATTTAGCTTTAGTTTAATTTAACATTCGATAGATTTGAAGAATATAAAGAATTTGCTAAAAGGAGACCAGGCCCAATTAGGCTATTCCGAGCTGATTAGGCCTGCCGTCACGATAAAAGTGGCCGTCCTAAATAATTGTTGGCCATCCAAAAGACGGCCAGGCGACTTGCTGGCTAAGCCTATGCCTGGCAGAAACGCTTGGCATCATCATTTTCGAATCTCAACCGACCTTTGGATAAAAAAAAAAGCCAGATTTTTTTTCTCAACCAAAAGTGGCTCTGTTACTCTCAATATGAGACTATTTATAGATCATCCTAAAGTTCAATCCTGTAAGTGGAGCTTGTACCTGAATATACTCTCGGAGAAAGGATGGCAGTTACGATAGAGAAGAGTGAAGTGTTCAAATGCTGCATAGCAAGATTTATTGATTATTGTCCAATGAAAAAAGGATTTTGTTTTTGTTGTTTCAGGCAAACTTCAAACATTAGATGTACTACTGCGACGACTGAAACCAGAAGGTCATAGGGTGTTAATATTCACACAGATGACAAAGATGCTGGACGTGCTGGAGAAGTTCCTCAATTTCCATGGACACACCTATCTTAGATTAGATGGTGCTACTAAAGTTGAATCCAGACAGGTAAACTGAAATTTAAAAATTGTTTGTAGTAATCTGAGAAAACCTTATATAAATTGTCTTGTACAAAAATTGTTACGACACCTTGAAATGTTTTTATTACAAGAAGTTTTTTCAATGTTTGATCAATTTTCTTTTTACACCACTGCTACTCTTATTCATTGATTAACCCTCTCCTTAGATGTTAATGGAACGTTTCAATGCAGACAAAAGGATCTTCTGTTTCATTCTGTCCACGCGTAGTGGTGGCCTTGGGATCAACTTGACTGGTGCTGATACTGTTGTTTTCTACGACAGTGACTGGAACCCTACCATGGATGCTCAAGCTCAGGATCGATGTCATAGGATTGGACAAACAAGAGATGTGCATATCTACAGGTGTGAAGACTAGCAATTCATCAATTAACTTAAAATAATGATTAGGTCTAGTGCTCAAAGCACAAATTCAGTACTCAAAGCCCAGCTTAAGTGCTCAAAGCCAGATTTAGTGCTCAAATCCCAGGCTTATTTTGTTGTTTTTGGTAACCAACATTTGGAAATGCAATGATGATTCAGACTAGAGTCTCTGAAAACAACAATTTGGAGATAACTTTATTCGCTGAGCATTTTCACAGATATTTGTTGTTTCTTTTAAGGCAGTTGTGTAGCAATTGGATTTAAAATGGGGGAAACAAAAAAATTTAATTAAAAAATTTAAATACAGTGTAACTACAATAATTTTTTCCAGTCACTCCCTTAATACACTTTTGTAGAGAAGGCACTTGTTTTTATTGGGAGTTGTGTTGCCAGAATGTTTGATAATTTGTCCCAATCACTTTTCTTGTAGACTTGTGAGCGAGATGACAGTGGAGGAGAACATCCTTAAGAAAGCCAACCAGAAGCGTCTGCTTGCAGATGTGTCGATTGAAGGTGGCAACTTTACTACAGCATTTTTCAAAAAGGTGAGATTAAATTATGAATATAAAATATTTTATAGCAATACGGATTCACTATTTATGATCATGAGGGTAATTGCAATAAGCATAATTATAAATGATGATAATAATAATACTAAAACTTGGTCAATATTGATTGATCAATATCAATAGTGATTGATCAATATTAATAGTAATAATGATGTTGATAATTAGGAGTGTTTACACTTGATAATTGTTAAATTATATTTTAAGTCAACAGTACAGCTCTATGTTGTTGTTTATATATATTTATTATATTTATTTGATTTCGAGACAAACATTACAACACATAAGAGTGAAAACAAAATATACATCTTTCTTAGCATGCACTCACTGAGTTATTTGAGAAACCAGAACAACCAGAGAGCAGGGAAGAATTACAAGTTGCTCAGAATCCACGAGTATCAAAGAGCCAACCTGATAAAACAGAAGTACCAAAACCAGTTGATTTAAAAGCAAATGTCTCCACCAAGGTGTTAGAATCTGAAGGAGTTGTCACTCCATCTAATCCGAACCTCTCACAGTTACAGTTAGAACAGGTAAGAGAAGAAAATATTTTGATGAGATTAACTGAAATAAATAATTTGACATTGGCCAAATTACCAAGGTGTGTGGGGGTCGAATTGTACCCACATGCTGTGGACCTGGCCATAGAATAACATTCTTCAAAAGTAAATGCAATACACATTTCATGTGTTCTTGAAAACTTTTGGGGTTAATAAAATGTTTTGCTCATTTTTCCATAACTCAAATGAGCCCTCTAATCTTTATGTTGGTGCAGTAGTTTGAATTCAGTCTTGATCATAAGTTTGGGATTCCCACTGTCTAATTATGTTTGTCTTTGGCCAAAGGCATAATCCATGTTGTCTTTTCACTAGACTACAGTTTGGTACCTCAGGAAACTGCAAGTGTTGCATACAATGTAACCAGGAGATAATGTGTATAAAAAAAAATTGATTGTCAGGAGTATAATTGTATGCAGTGATAATATTTTGGAATTTTTTTCCCCTTGTTTTTTTAAAGGCCCTAGCAAAAGCTGAAGATGAGCGTGATGTTCAAGCTGCTTCAATGGCCCATGCAGAGCAAGATGCGGAGTTAGCTGAGTTTGATGAAGATATACCTTTTGATGGTGAGGAAAAGAGTGGCCAGAAAGAAGAAACATCTAGAGTGGAAATGGAATTGGCACAACTCCAAGATCAGGTATGAAAACATTTGCTTTTAATTTCTGGTTCTGATTTTGTTCATTCTATAGGATTATACATATAGTTGTAGCATTCAATAAAAACTTTAAATATTATGCATAATTAGGTTAAAAGTTTATTATACTTAGGTTTGGAAAAACCACACCAAACAGTGGTGATTTTTAGATCTCAAGCAGTGGTGATTTTTAGATCTCTTACATACTTTCTGCCACTACAAATTTTAATTACAAATAACATTACAACATCACATTTTCAATAGGACCTAAAGTAAAGCCTTTAAGTTTTATTCCACCTACAAGTATGCAATTAAAATCCAGGATAAGTTGACAATGTCTTAAAACATTTGATTACATTTTTTCCCTATCCTTTGTATATTTATCTATAAGAAAAAAGTGTTTGTTTTTCCACCCTGTAAAGAATTTTTAGATACAGTTTCCTGAACAAGGTATTAAAACAACTCTTGCTTTATAAACAACAACAACTTGTAAAACACCAGACATTCAATTAACAACATTGGATGGCTTAAAGTAAACAAATTGTTTTCAATATTGACTAAAAAAAAAGGGGGTATTTCCATAACACTTACTTGTGAATTTGAAATGCTGTGATGTTTTGACTAGAGTCTCTGAGTTAAGTATGGAGATGGCATACCCTTTAACTGAGCATTTCATTACCATTCACTTCACCTAGGTGATCCATCTATGTTTACATCTGAATATTTCACAACAGATCCGTCGTTGCAAGACTGGTGCAACTATTGTGTACAAACCTATGATGTGTTCCCACATAACAAAGTAGCAAAATATTCAAACATTTTTCTAATTATATTAAAATCCAATATTTAATTGGCTAGAATAATTTCACCTTAAAGAAGCTATTCAAGGTTCAGAATTAGTACCACTGAGCCACATCCTCAAACTTCATGCATGGTTGCACATGACTAGCGTGAACATAATGCATATAATGCAATATGTCATTTTTAAAATAAGTAAAAAATGTATCTTGTAGTTAAAATGTATTTACTAGTTGTGCCTAATGATAAGAAAATAATGAACATATTGTATTCAAAATATCAAACTTTAATATTTCAGTCCATACCACTTAATTATTTGTAGGAAAATATCAAATTTCATTTTTTGCACCATCATGTTTTTCATCCTACAGCTGACGCCTATTGAGAAGTATGCACTTATCTTCTTAGAGTCAACAGTTGAACCATTGTCAGATGAACACCTGAATGAGGCAGAGGTTAGTAGCTTCATTTTTTCCCTTTTTAAAAAAAAAACATTTTTTGTACTTATTAATAATGACATAACTACAAGTATGCAATTGAAATCCAGGATAAGTTGACATGGCTTAAAACATTTGATTACATTTTACATTTATATGTTATGTATGAACCTTACTGACATGGGTATAATCCCATGGCATTCGATCATAGGAAATTTCTACTTACAGGTGTACCCCCCCACCATTCGAAAACTTTGAAGCAAAAAAAATTAGGCTAGGCTTATGCTTATGCTGTCACAGTTAACGTGTATTCGGGAATCTAAGAAGCAATATTTTTCAGTGGGGTTTTAATACTGCTAGATATGCCACTGTGAGTCAGTACAGTATATGCTTATAATATGTACATATATGTAGTATGCATGCATATATGTATGTGTGTGTGTATATATATACGTATATGTATAAATATATGTAATAATATATATATGAATTATACAGGATAGTAATTAGTAGTCTAATAAGTGATTACTTTTTTTTATAGGAACAAATAGAGATAGCTAAGCAAGAGTGGGAACTTAGCCATCTGCAGGCACTAAAGGAAGAAGAGGAGCGGAAGGCAGAAATGGAGGAAGATGAAATATTTTACACATATACCAGAGAGGATGCATACAATAAGGTGCCTAAAAAACGAAAGGGGGTAAACAAGAAAAAGACTGCTGTTACACAGAAGAGTGTTAATATTGAAGAGGTTAATGATAAGTTGAGGCGATCCAGTAGGGGTCGAAGTTCAGAATCACAAGAAGGGATTAATCAAATCTCCGATCATGTGTCTGTTAGGACTAGAAGAAAGAGTTCGGAATTAAGTCCAAGGTCGAGAAGCTCTGGTACTGGCTCTGATCGACCTCGAACTCGTAGTAGTGATAAGAGCCCAGAAAGTGTAACTAGGAAAAGTAGGGATAGTAGTCCTGATAGGTTATATAAGAAAAGTAGAGAAGGAAGTCCAGACAAGGTTAATAGAAGAAGTCAGGATAATAGTCCAACAAGTTTGAGAAAGGCATGTGACTTGGAGCCTCTCAAAGAGAATACTGACAATGCACCTATTGACACTGATAGGAATCTATTTGTTGATATTGGCAGTCCTGATAGTGACCTCACAAGGAGCTCTGAAGATTATTCTCCAGATAAAATGCCAAGACATGTCTGGGGTCATGACATTATGAAAGGATTATTGAAGTCTGTGAGCACCAGTGAGCCATCAGAACCAACTGACAGTAAAAAAGACCAAACATTGTCCCCTCCTCCCATATTAAATGTGGTGAACCATAAGATTAAAACCAGTGCACTAGAACCAATTCCTTCTATAGATGTTACTATCGATGATAGTATCAATGATTCAATTGAAGAAATCCACAGTAAAGCGCATGATATTAAGCCAGAGGAAGTACATGTTGATGAGAGCAGAAGTAGCATTTGGGACATCTTGAATAGTATGAGGAAAGAAATGACTGATCAGCTTGTAAGTTCAGAAACTACTGAGGTGAAATCAGACCATGCACCTACTGACCTGGGAAGTATGAACTCCATTATATGGAATGTTGGATCTTCTAAAGATGTTAGTCAAGTTCAGAGCATCCAAGTTGAAATGGAAAGTGTTGAAAGTATACCAGAAGTACAGGAGGCGCCGACAGATACTGTTGTGACAACTGCTAATTCATTGAGTGAAGCTGGTCAAGGGGAAAATAATTTAGGAGCTAATGGTGGTGAGATAGAGCAAGGGGAAGCTGGAGACAATATTGAAGATCCTGGTCTGAGTATTTCACAAATTATAGCATTAGTTGAGAAAGGGTACAGGAGTGATGATGAGTTAGTTGAGAGTGAGTACAGCAATGATGATGTCAACCTTATCACTGAAGTGGGAGATGAAGAGGTGTTTAAAGCTGAAGGAACAGTGTTTGTGGATGCGAGTAATGAGAGTAGTCCTTTAGAAAGGAATGATTTACAATCCTTTGCTAATGTGGCCAAAAATGTTTCTCAGAATGATAGTGCAGACCCTAACATTAAGGAACAAAATGTTGATGACCTTAAAGAGAGTCCACAAAATTTCAATGGTAATCAAACACCAGATGACAAAAAAATACACCTGGTGTCTTCAGAAGCTGAAGAAGATATAGTAAGTTCAGATGAAGAAGTAAAAGAAGATAAGAAACATGTGAAGCAATTGAATGATCTACCCTGTCTTCAAACCAGGTCACAAGTTGAAAAACGAGCCTTGCATGAAAAAATGAAGCAGCAGATGGGATCCCGACAAACAAGGTCAGGCCGTTCCTCCAATTTATTGCCATCGCCCAAACATATACAGCAGATAAAGACTGTGTGTAATGCAACAAAGAGTAAACCAGTTGCTCAGAAAATGCCAACATCTCATTCCAAACCTACCAAACAAATTGACAATGTTAGCACAAAAGCAGATGATGATAAGGATGCATCCCCTGATTCGTCTGAAGCTAAGTCAGCTAAAAGAGGAAGAGGCAGGCCTAGGAAAATTGTAGTTGAAGTTAAATCTAATGAAAAAGGAGTTGAATCTAATGAAAAAGGTGATGATAATAAAGATGAACATGATGATACTGACAGTAGTAGTGATAGTGAAGAGGAGCTCCCAGAAAAGAGGATGACGAGGATGACAGTTGCTGTTGCCAAAGCAAGCAAAGTCAGAGTGACACGTTCCAAGGGTAAAAGTGAACCATTTTTGTTGTCTGCCAAGAATACACTTGGCAGTCCTATGCTAACATCTCCTAGAAGGGGAGGGCTTGGTAGCCCTCCTACAAGGGGTGGGCTTAGTAGCCCAAAACTAACATCTCCTCGAAGGGGAGGGTTTGGTAGCCCAAAGCTACAGTCCCCTAGCAGAGGGGGGCATAAGGGTAGTGCAGCAAATAAAACTAAATCTGCAGAGAGACCACTAAGAACAAGACATCGTAGTGATGGAAAGAAGGGTATTCCAAAGTAACGACTTAACCATTACTTGGTGGTTGTTTTTTTTTCCCACACTATAGATATATATTTACAACTCCTTAGCATATTTTGCAATATTAAAATTATTATTACACAAGAAAAACATGTTTACAACTCCTTAGCATATTTTGCTATATTCAAATTATTGTTGCATAAGGAAAAAAAACTTGTTTGTACTTCAGTTCTATAGCCAATTTATTTAAGGTGTTGATTATGAGAGTGGAGAAATCATTGTCTATGTGTGATGAATGGAAAAGGTGGTGCTAAAGAGAATACAAGGCTTATTGTATCCCACCAATATAATTATTTAGTTCTACTTACTGTACACCTCGAGACTTTACTTGAGAGTGAAAATTATAAATAGTGCCCTCTATTTTTATTGTTTGTCTAAGGTTGCAATGGAGCCTAGCTATTGTGTAACCTCAATTTTCTTCCAAGTTTATTTTTTTATATTGGAAGTTACATGTGGTAGTGAAGGGACCATGTGTTGGCAAGTTTGACATCACAAATGTTGGTGTCTTATTATAAATTTAGATTAATATTTTTTCTTGAACAGATCATGAAATGTATTAGTTAATTTGATAGTTTTGACAATAATTGTAGAAGAATCCACAGAAATAATTTGGAATGCTTCTCATATGTACCTTGTGTAACAAATAATGATATGGTTTTGTACTGTCGCTGTATGTAAATATTAAGATTAACCTTGCTTAAAAAATGTAAGGAAAACATTAAAAATACTTGAAATTTAGATCTTAGTCTCTTGTGGTTATTTCACTTGTTTGTGATGGGATACCAGGCTTATTGCAGGAGAATAATTTGGAGGAAATAAAATATAAAAAAATTTGCATCCAAATTGGACAAATACTTTCTCCTCTGAAATTGGTGAACAATTGTGTCTAAGCTTCACGTAGGCTTTTTCTATTTTGGAATGGCAAAGGCCCGATGGTGCAATGTGGCTTTTGATTCACAATTTTAAAATCACAATCAATTGAATCTTTGTGAAAAAAATTAAATTATTTTGGTGTAATAATTCAAAACGAGAAATAAGCCATCCCAAACAAGCTGGTGAAGTATACACAATTGGGTATCAAAAAGATCAACATGCCTCCTTGCATGTCCATGTCCACTAATACATACAATAACATTTCGTTGGTCAGTTCTAACCGGCAAGGTCTTTGGTACTACTTCCCTGCACATACCAAATTTACATATGTGCATTGGAAAAAAGTACTACCCAAAACCGCACCCCATTTACATGAGCCATCTGCAAACTATTATTTTAAGCTTAAAATAGCAAATATAGATGGACAGTTTGCTTTTTAATATTTATGAGGTATAGTGAAACAAATACAACATAGTTTTTTTTTTTCATGTCGGAGGTAGCCCAATCTTCCAACAATGAGAGAAGTAGAATTTACTAGTTCACTTCAAACCATGTTTTTTTTGTATACTAATAGTCCACCTATATTTTTGCCCAACCCTGTTTGCCCATCAAATTACAATACACAAGCATGTTTCTATTAATACATTTTCCAGTAACCAGTATGAGCATATGGATCACCCTATTCAATTGCATGTTAAAAATATACTGCAATCCGAAAGAAATACTGTATGTACTTGAAACTTTAAAACTGCTGAATTTATTTATGATCTTTAAATTTCCTCCACATTTCAAGAATGTTTAAACAACAACATTCAGTCTGCCTAATTTATACCACCAATTTAAGATATTTGTATTTCTACAAGCCATTGAAAACTTTTCTTTTAATTCTGTAATGTATTGGAAATGGTGGTTCTTTTAAATGAGCAATACTGTATTTCTTTTTTTTTTTGGATAGGAGTATATCTTCTAAGCATATAGCAACAGTACAATAATTATACCAGAGATGAAAGGTAGATGCTTGTTTGAGCAGATTCTCAAAATTTTATGAAGACTTGATCCTGGTATCAGTAGAATCCTGGATGAAATAATAAAAAAAATCTTTATTATTTTGTGACATAACATGTAAATTGAATGTATATTTACAGCAATGTATGCTGAAAAAGAATGCAGTCATCACAGTTCGTATTGTTGCGGGTAAAAATATCAGTGGTAGATTTAAGAGGGGGCCCCAGCCGCCAGTGTTGTAACCTCTATGCACTCTTGTGCGGTGGTCCTCAGGGCCCCGGACTCCTAGGGGCCCCGAAAAATCCCCTAACCACATGATCTTACACCTAGCACCCTGACCCAAAAGGGCTTTGTTGATACAACAGCATAGTGTTTCTCTGACATTGACTGTATATCATATTATATCCAGTGGTGAATTAAAGGGACCCCTAAATTTTTAAATTTAAAGTCTGTGAGTGCAATTTCTGGCCACTTAGAGGTGCTGTAATCATAAATTTTCTTACCTCGACCCCACCGTGGTCATATAATATAATTTGTCGTTAAAAACATTTAGAAAACGATGACCATAATTAGAAAACTAACACATCTAAAATCGCTCAACGGAATTGTCATCCTCTCATAAAGCCACAGGGCCCTCGACCATATCGTTGTGCCACTGCCAGTCGGCTCTGTCCCCCTAAATTTTTCAAAATTAAAGAAAAAATTGAGAAAAAAAGAAAATCATATTGAAATTTTTCCGGCTATCTAGAGTTGCAATAATCATAAATATTCTTAGCTAAACCCTAATAAACATGGTGGAGCTGAGATGATGTAGACCCTTCCCCTATGAGAGTCCCTCCCAGGTTCCCCTCTATCTGCCACTGAATATTCATTCTTTAAGAATGACCAGCAGAATATTGCAGCTGTTGTGGGTAACAATGTCAAATATTCCAGAAACCTAATCTTTTTCAGATTCATTTGATTTACTGTTGTACAGATTAAAGGAAGATGTGCTTTGAGCATCATGTGGGCTGCTTTTCTCTTGTACTCTCTTCTTTCATACAAGTACACTATGCTAATATTTCTCAATTTCCCTTTTTACAGATTTATATCTCGCAGACAAACAATATAATGCCGGTAAGTTTGATCCACAAGATGAAACCCATCCATATTCTATTTTCCAACTAGATAGAGAAAAAGGATAAAAAAGAAAGAAAGAAAAAAAAATTGATCGCCTAAAATGCCTCGGAGGTTATTTTCATGCGTCTATTTTTCATTTAGATGTGGTCACCACCCACGCCACCACAAGATGACAATGATGTGTATGTGGACAACGCGTTCTATGTGATGTACGAGCCCTCTGTGATGACGGAGACACAGCTGCCGTCTATTTACACCAAGAAAGAACATAAGAAAGCCAAAGAAATCAATGGTAAGTTTGCCAGAAATTGTAAGTGGCCTTTGATTTTTATTTTTAAATACTAACAGTATTTTAAGCATTAGTTTGACAAACTCGTATAACTAGCTGCAATTTTGTCAAACATGGTGTCGCAAAAACAAAACTGTATTTATGTAAAAATGTCCTGTTCAGTCTAAGAAATTCTTATTTTACTATGTACTATTACTGTATTCTTACATTTTTCACTTTCAGCAGTGGCGACTGTTCGTAAACCAAAGACACATTCCAAAGGAGACCACATGCAGCCGCCAAGGTCCCTGTTTGACCGTCCATCATCAGCATGGCACAAGATGCGTAGAGATGCCAAACAGCAAAAGATGAGAGATATGGTGAAACCGATGAAACCATTGCCAACAGTACATAAACCAGAGGCAGACACTCAACAGGACAAACCAGAATGGCTTATAAATGAAGACTGGGCGTTGTTACAGGTTAGTATGTCCAAAACAACTGATTCTCTTCTGTTATGTTGATAATTTTCAAGTAATTCAACCAAAGTGAATAAATGTAAAAAGAATAGAAGTTAAGAATTTGTTCAGGAGTTTGTATAATGTTGGCCTTTACAACCCATATAATCATCATTCTGCACTGCATTCATAGGTAACATTAAGATGTTAGATTTATTGAAGTAGTAATGTTGATTTTCTATTGTAATACTTTCAACCAAAAAGTCAGTTGCATCCTAGCTTACTAAGATCACTTCCTCTTAAATACAACAGGCAATACAAACCCTCCTTGATCTACAGCCAAACTTACAAGTAGTTGTTCCTGGCCATACCATCAATTGGGAGTTGGTGAGTGATGTTGTTAACTCCTGTAGTCGAATCTACCGCTCTCCCAAGCAGTGTAAAAATCGCTACGAAAGCGTTATCATTCCACGTGAAGAAGGCAAGATTCTGTATGACACAAATCCTAAGAAACAGAAGAAATCAAAGGGATTATACAAGTCTATGGTAAGTGAAGAACTTGTTAATTTCCATAGCCAGAACACAGTTTTGATTTTATGTATTTACAAAAAAACAATTGTAGGATACAAACCAAACATACCCTGTCTGTTCTAATGAGAAAATCCAAGAGAATTGGATTGGATTTATTCGGTGTAAACACTAAGGATAGCCCACGAAAGTCTAGAAGACGAATTATTTCCAGTGGGATCCTTCTGGTGGTGATTGGGCAGTACTCCGAAGAGTGAAATGCGTTCTTTAACATACACATGGGCCATAAATGCACACAGGACCAACGGCTTGAACGTCGCATCCGGAAGACGGTGCGCTTGTAACTTGTATTTCAGCCCACAAGGAGAGGCAACGAAAGGAATTGAACCGGGGACCTAGAGATCTCCACGGTTCAGCACACACACAGTGGCTACCACCAGATTAGCCGACAGAGCTAAGCTGCTCATGCAAAAAGTATCAACCACATAACTCAGTGGGTAGTATGGCAAGAGAAATCGGAAGGTCTTTGATTTAAAACCTAAATGGGGAGTACCCTTTGTTAATGTAAATAGGTAATTGTGTACACCACTTGGGTTCATAGCTCAAATGGTAGAACAAATGAACAGAAATCTGCATGTCTTGGTTTGACACCCAGATGGGTGGGGTGGGGGGCATACTAACATGAACATCCAATTGCGTGTACTACTTAGCTTCCAAGCTTACTTGTTGGATTATCTGAACACTCTGATCTGATGGGGACAAAAGGGTTTAATCATGGACCTATTATTAATAGGTCCATGGTTTAATCAAAAATATGTATAGGTCCATGGTATTATCATCTTTGCTGATCATTATTGGAGTTGTTTTTTGCAAAAAACTACTAAATTGTCTTTTACTGCTTACCAAGTATCTTATGATTCAAATTGATTGTGAATTATGCTATACGTTTTGTCCAATTTCGTTGGCAATTATGTTTTTTTTCCATCTGATAATGAAATGCTGTGTGTGAATTTCTTTTTCAGACAAAGAATAACCGAATAATGAAAACGAGTCATTTGCATACCCAGGACAACAACAGCTCACATACTATGCTGTACAGCAATAAATTTGATCAGATCAAAGTTGCTGTTGGCAAGAGACAACCTTACCTTAAACAAGTGTGAGTATTCTTACTTCTCTAACAATTTAAATATAACTGCATTTTCTGTTTTCGCATCATGATAATGATAATTAGTGGCGGATCCAGGTATTCAAAATAGAGGGGGCCTGGGGAGGTACTTTACAGATGGAGGAAAATTTGTGATTATGCCCTCTAGATTGCCGGAAATTGTATCTCCATTTAAAAAGAAACAATTTTGGGAATCCCAGGTCAGCTGGGCCCCCCCCCCCCTCTTGAATCCACCACTGATAATAAAGTTTTTTGAGGTGTTCTTCATTCTTGTCTTTCACAATGTATCTGTTTTAAGAGAATCATTGATCATATTCTAAAGTAAAAAAGCACAAAAAATAGAAACTGTACAGTAAATTTAATTCAGTTGAATTATAGTTTTTTTGAATAAAAGTTGTTTAATAAAAGTTGCATTTTGCACATGAAACCTTCATAGTAACCCACTTATACTCCTGGGTGGGGACACGAGCAGCTTGCACAGCGAGGATTTCAAATCCCTACCCATAAGGTTAATCGTTAGGCCAAACCGCTTTCACATATTAAGTTGAATTGTGTCTTTATTTGTATTGATGGTGCATTGGTCCAAAAACACACTGTCAAAACATTGTTGAAATATCCCAATAAATAACAAATTGATTTGTTGTTACCATTTTAGGCTCAATAATCCTTTGCTTAAGAACCCAAAGCATAGTGCTGTGTTGCAGGATTACAGCATCAATTATGACAAGCCTTTGCTTCCGCTCCAAGTGGCTGCTAAGAGAGCAGACAGGATCGCTAAGGAGAAGAAAGAGAAGGAAGCACAGATAAAGCAAACTGCAGCTCAGAATGCTGCCGCCGCCGCTGCTGCCGCTAGTGCTGTAAAAACGACAGCAGTTGCAACAGCAGCTGCAACTACAGTCTTGGTATGTGTGTTGTCATATATTATTGTTAATATTTTGTATTATCAATATTATTATCATTTATATTTTGGATATAGTTTAAAAATACAATGTGTTGTAGAAAACCTATACACCATAAGGATAAAACAGAATAAAAAATCTGAGTGCATGTAACTAACAAGTGCAACAACACTGGGTATAATCAGTGAGAAAATGATTTTCCTGATGAAAAGTAAACAGTTGGATGCGATTTGCATAGCATCAAAATGGTCTTTAAGTGCTTGAGGTGTGGACTAGCTTATACATTAGCTTGCTTCTCCCCTAAGGGCCTCTCGTGTCTGAGCAACCCAGTAAACCCTTACCAGCTACATTTGCTCATTAGTTTGTCATCCACTTGGTTGCAACAATACGGTACAATAAATTAATTACTAAATATGTAATTATTTGTGTACAGCAAGCTAGTACTGTTGCTCGTCCAGTCATTGGTACTACAACGCTGCCTGTACGTGTGACAGCTGGTAACAGTATCGTGGTCAACACTCAAGGAGGCATGGTCTCTGTATCCAATCAGCAGCTTGCATCCATTAACAAACGTCTTAATCAACAACCAGTCACTGCTGCTAATGCATCCCAGGTACCTAGATTTTTATTCAAACTATTTGATACTTTTGATAGACCTGACGATCTTTGTAGAAGTGCAATAATTTAGTTTACATATGTGGCAAAGACAAGTCAAACCAGTCACTCATTGCAAATCGTGTTTCAGAGAAAATGGCCAAAACATGCTGGAATGACAAACTTTTAAAAATCTATTTTATTGCACTAAACTAATCTTTACATATCTATACATCATTCCGTGCTGTTATTTTCCCCATTTTCAATGTTAAAACAACACTTTTTAAGGATTTGATGATAGTTTCTGCATGAGAAATGCCTAAAATCATAAACTTTGAAGGCTGATTCCTCATATATTGTTCTTTAAACAGCTGTGTGTTTAAACAGTAACTTCATAAGGAAATGTCTGATTTGAATGATTTTTTACCATTTTATAGCTATTATTTTACTCTCCTAACACTGTATTAATAACTCAAAGTCGATTTTTGCGACGAGTGACTGGTTTGGCTTGTCTTTGCCACATATAGTGATTGATTTTAATTATATATGTGTATATATATATATATATATATGTGTGTATATATGTATATATAATGAATAAATGTAGTTGGCAATACTAGCAACGTATAGTGCTCGATACACGTGATAATGCAGAGCGTAAATATTGAATTCAATATATGTATATATATATATATATATATATAATCAAAACATTTTTAATCAAAACATTTTTAAATACCCTTTTTTAGATTGCAACATCCATTGCACAGATTGTTAGAACTCAAGGAGGAAGAACACAGGTGACCTTACCAACATCAGCTGCTCTCCATGCCAGTCAGCTTCGCAGTACGACACCAGCTTCTATTATGGTGTCCACTGTATCTGGGGTGACCACAGTCCAGGCAAGAGCGACACCAACTGCATCACTGGCAACTGCAGCAATGGTCAAAGGTAGTCTACTTGCCAATTATGTATTGGAACAGTGCAGGGCGGATTTAGGGGGAAGGAAAAAAATAGAAAAAAAAGAAATTATTGATTTCCAGACGTCTAGAAAACAAAAATTTCGTGGGGGGAATACACCCGTCCGCCTAGGGTGGTGGTGTTTCACGATCAGCCCCCTTTTCGGACAACTCTGGATCTGCCCCTACTGTGTGATGCTTTCTTTTTCTCTATAGCCAGCCTGGCCTTAAGCATTGAAGCTGGTTTTTAGTTGATTAAATTCTGGGATTTGAACCTAGGATTTTGGGATTGTAAGGCTTGCACTGAATCACCAAGTCACAGTTGTACTCATTATTTATCATTGTGGGGACCTTGTTCAGCCATTATTATGTTTGACTAAACATCATTGAAAGGTGAAAAAATGTTGTTTTTTCATTTGATAAAATTGTTCTTCTAAATTCATCTAGCTGGAGGATAAATTTTCTTGCCTTAGAGATTATTATTATTATTGTAATAATCATTATAGTAATATTAATAAATATTGATATATTTAACTTATATGATTAGGATGGTACTAGCTACTAATAAAATATCTACTAATTATTAAATAATATTTTTGTTTTATTTTAAAGATGGCAATTAACACCTCAGTAATGAGACATTTCTTAAATGAAGCCATTAGAGATGTATGTATATACTTACGACATTTCAAACATCTAGCAGGAAACCTATTTTTGGTAATGAAAATAAATTTTTCATATTATATGCTTGTTTGAATTCAACAGCAACGGCATCCAACTTGTCTGCAGCTACCATTTCTCCCGCCAACTTCGCTACATTCAAACGACAAGCTCAGGCCCAAGCACAGCCTGCAACCATTAAACAGGTATATGATAGTGGTCTTGCTTTTTGCCTCCTTTTTTTCATGCATCCTTGCATTCCATTCCTGGCTTCCATCTTTTCCTCACCCTTTCTCATCTGAGTACTCCTTCACTCTCATTATTCTCTTTACTTATCCCTCAGTACCTTTCATTAGCTTCATCCTGTCTGCACAGCTCTGTTGTGGAATTTGTACATGAAGATTTCACTTCTACACTTTTCACAGCTCTGCTATTAGTTTGCTCCATATATTCAATTTAACCCTTACCATTAAAGATATACCACCATCAAAATCAAATCATGAAAAATCATAAATTTCCTAATGTTCTGTCCACACTATCAAATTTGATGTAACAAATAACTGATATGCCCATATTTGGGTGTTACAGGACATCATCATGCCCATATATGGGCATTTCACACATTTGTCACATGAAATTAGCTATTGTGGAGAGAGCTTATTTGTATATTTGGTCAATGGTCAGTGGTGAAGCACTAGTGCATATAACATTCGTCACGTCATAAGCAGTACACAAAAACCACACAAATAAAAGAAAGTTATTGGTTTGTCTAAAAAATTAGAAAACAGAAATTGTTCTTGCTATTTATCAGAAAAATAGGTACCATTCCAATATTCTTTAAATTAATACAGTAATTATTAATTACCATAATATTTCTGGCAGCAAATTTAACTATTTTTGGAAGAGAATGTTTTAAATGGTTTTTTTTTTCAACTCTTTTTTATATTCTTTTTTGGTGGCGGTATATCTTTAAGCTTGAATTACAATCTTGTTAACACATGTGTGTACCTTCTGTTAGCAATTCAAGCCAGTTGATTTGAAGCGGATGCAGCAAGCTCAGGCCCAGGCAAAGGCAGCCCAAGCCGAAGCCCATGCCCAGGCACAGGCCTCCCAGCAACTTGTAACCAGCGGAAGCCCAGCTGCTGTCGCTAGCATTGTCCAGCAACAGAGAGTTCAGGTTAAAAACTATTTAGTTCAATCTTTTAAAATTGCTGTCTTACAAGTTTCATAACTCTTGTAGTGAAATAATTTGGTTCTATTCATCCTTTATATTCCTGATTAAATGAAACATACAGTGCTGTTCATTCTTTCATTGATCATTTGCATTAGCACTTACTCACTTAACATGAACATAATTTGCCAGTGTACAAAAGATCAATTTTTAATCAAAATTAACAATTAGTAACCTCTGACTAATTATATATTATGATTTGATTGAATTTTACAATTGTTTTTAATCATTCTGGCTCTCACCAATTAATGACCAGCTCTAACTTGTATCCTGTTTCATAGTATTCTGAAACAAAAAAAAGAACTTTCCCTCTTTATGTTCTCCTCCTAATCCAATTTGCACAAATCTTTTACACTCTATAATCAAGTTGTTGTGTGATATTTTATTGAAAATTATTAATAATAGATTAATTTGAAGATGTGGAATTGAGTATAGTGTTTTGTGAATACAGTGTATTCTCTATAATATGAGAGCATCTTTCAAAATCATATGGAACAATCTTGCATAGTACTTGTATTCTTAATTGTATTATAATGTAAGACTCTGTCCAGATCATCAAATTTGACAAAAAAAAACAAAACTGTTGTATGCCCATATATAGTAATGGTATGCCCATATAATGGTATGCCCATATATAGTAATGGTATGCCCATATATAGTAATGCTATGCCCATATATATAGTAATGCTATGCCCATATATAGTAATGGTATGCCAATATATAGTAATGGTATGCCCATATATAGTAATGGTATGCCCATATATAGTAATGGTATGCCTATATATGGTCATGATGTGATGTCATCATGACCATATTTAGGCATGTCACATTTGGTAGTCTGGACAGAGCTTAATGGATTGCTTGATGGTTGTTGATTTCCTGCATCCAAGAACCATCCCACTTTCATAAGCCTCATTAAATATCTCCCTCCATATCATGTTTATTTCTGTGATTGTTACCCTTTTATCAGTAGTGTAATTTTAATTGTGCTTTATTTTTTTGTAAAGTGGGAATTACAGAAATAATAAGATTAAAGTAAACATTTCTTTTCTCAAAACGGGAATTACAGAAATAATAAGATTAAAGTAAACATTTCTTTTCTCAAAACATGATTTTTTAGTCATTGTAAATTCATAATTTTTCCATTCTTTTAAACAATAATTATTCTCTTTGAAATAGAAACCAGCAACACTGACCCGACCTTTGAAAGAGGCAGAGATTTCGCTCATCAAACGTCAACTGCAACAACATAAACTGAACCAGTCAGCTAATAAGGTTGCAGTAACAACTGTCAGTGGGGTAACGGTCAGTGGTGTGGTCACTGTGGGTCAACAGAAGGGTCAAACATTGAAACAACTGACTTTTACACCACAACAGTTACGCACATTACAGATGCAGCAACTGTTACGTCAACAGAAGCAACAGCAGCAGCAGCAGCAAAAAATTCAAACACTGACACCAGCCCAAGCTGCCCAGGTAAAATATAGTTACCGGTATTTGTATTTTTGTAATTATATGCATAAAAAAACATATTTTTGGCCAATCAGCAGGCACACTAATATTACTGTCAAAATATTTTGCATAGCATAAGCAGCTTTAATTTTTGTTGTAAATAAATGAATAAATTAGGTCTACGTATTAAAGTTGGATTCAGTCTGTTGATTCAGATGTTTTAATTAAATGCTTGTAACTCAATTTTTTTTTGCTGATTTTACCAAATGGAATATCTTCTTTATCACAGAGAAATGGCAGATCAGATAGATAAATTTGGAAAATGTTGCACTATTGTATTTCATAAATATATGTACATTAGTGTATTGCATAAATATAAAGTAACATAGAATGCACATGTACTTTTAAATACAATTGATTGGCAATCCTTCCTATTGTAGTTGACTCAGAAAGCACAGTTCTTAGCAACACAGCAGCAGAAGTTACAGGCAGCCCGACTGGTGGCCCAGGTACAGCAGGGATCTGCAACACAACACATTCAAGTGACGCCAACTATTACCACTGCCCAACAGCTGCAGCAGGTGAGCTTAAACTGCCTCATAAGTTATTATTGACTGCCGAAAGTTTTGAATGATTTATTGATTTATTGATTGATTGAAGTTGGTTCATTTCTGTAGGAAGGCTAATGTGGCTGGTTGATTAATTAAATTATCAATTGATTGATTTAATTGGTTGCACTTTGAAACAGATGTTTTGTACAAAAACAATTACGTAATATACTACCACATTTGTTTTTTAGGTGCAGAAAGCAGTTCAGTCTGGTCAAGTTCAAGTCCAGCAAGCATCCGGCCAGACAACAGTTCAACAGATACCTCGGCAGCAACTGATCCAGTTAAGCCGAACAGGTGGTCCTTCAACAACACTGGCCATCCAACAAGCCAGCAAACCAATAACGGTCATATCTGGCCCGTCGGCTGCCCTCAACGCATCCCAGTTAGCTCAAGTGGTGTCTGCCACAAATGCACAGAAACAGAGTGCTGGCCAGACCGCAACTCATGTTGTTTCCATCGCGCCACCTATTCTGCAGTCCGGCACCAATCTCCAAGCACAGGTGGTTCGTGCCGCAGGAATCCAAGAAGCGGTTGCTAAAGCTGCACAGAGTGTAGCTATCACAGTGCCTGCGCTCAGCCAAAGCCAAGCAAAGATGGATGTCATAATGGTTGAACAGCATGGCGCTACAGAGACTGTGATAACTGAACCCCCGTCACCAGCGGAAAGCAACGACAGCAAGAAGGAAGAAAGTGGAGCAAGCGATACAGATCCTTCATCGTCTACGGCGACAAGGCCGTATGCCATGAGGACAAGGACTTCATCCAAACATTAGATACAAACAATATGAACTTAACACGACTGAAACAGAAAGCAATGGGCAGTAATTCCTTAACCTTATATATTAAGGCAGAACAATTTGCTGAATTTGGAGTTGCAATTAAGTCTATAAGATGTATATCTAGACACAGAATTTCTCAAACCTCTTGTTTCTACATAAAATACTAAATACATTTTTACTGAAAGCATTATGATGTAATCATTTGGGTACATTACTCAAAGCTATGGTATGTAATATTATTTATTTTGCACTAGTTTTTTTTTTTTTTATTTATTTATTTAACTTACAAATATAATTTATGACATGTACTAGTGTGTGTATTGTGTAATTTTGAATCTAGTATAATTTGAAATTCAGTATTTTTATATAGTTTTTGATGTGTATGATTTGATGATGGACAAAAAAAAATACATTGAAAATGGTGAGGTAGTGAGGGAAACGTGTGAAAAAATCTGTTGAGATTGTATTAGTTGAATGGTCAAACCATAGTTAGCCTTGTTTTCAATACAAAAGTGTATACAGAGCGTGTAAAGATCTTGTAACGAGTTATAATAAAGAGAATGATATTTGGAATTAAAAACAGGGAATTATGGTGAACTGATAACATTAAGACTTGGGATGGGAAAATGAAATGGCCCAAGATAATAAAGTTTGAAGATGATTTTATGATTTCATGTAGAAACATTTGTTCTCTATGGTAAAGGAGTAGAGATGTATACAACTTATTGTTTTGCACAATAGGAAATAGATTATGAGTGTGTTCGTAAGTTATATACAAACTATATATAATAAAAAACAACTGCACTATAATGCAGCCCCATAATGACTTCATATCCTGAAATATATAATAGTTGATGGTATAAACCTGCTGTTCTACATATCCGCAAAAAAAGAAATATGTCAAATGACCGGATTTATCTGTTTAATAACTTCACTCATCCATATATGACGATGGTGTGCTAACCATATATGGTTAGGTTAGCCCATGTATTGTGTGGTAAGCTTTAACATACTTAAAGGGCCCTCAAACATTGAACATCTGTGAACAAGGAATAAGTATATAAAAATATAAATATGTTAATATGAACATTCGTAAACAGATGTTAGAAAAATAATTATCTGATATTTGATCAATTCCATTTTTTCATAAATGTTCTTTATTATTTGAATGGGGGTGGACATGCCAACGAGTAGTACTTAATGTAGAATCGGTCTTGGATTCTTGTTCCCAAAATCAGTGAAAATTGGGGGAATTCAACACATTATATGAACAGTTTTATGAACAGAAAGCCCGACAGAATCGATCAAGTACATATGCTTCTGTACAACCTTAACATCCTTAATACAGTAGTCCTCTTATTTCGTATTATTTTTTTATGTTAATTATCATCGTTGTAGAATAAGGACCCACAAATCGACAGTAGATAGTTTTCGCCGCACGATGTTAACCTTAACGTTAACGGATGAGTCATAATTCGTTCATCTTGCGTTGCGGAGTACGTTAATTTCAGGATTTTATGTCCCTGACGCACGTTATTTGCGGGTTTACGTAACTTATGCGCATGCATATTTAACGCCGTGCGGCGAAACTAGGCAGTTTTTCGCTTCACGACATTAACGAATGACGTCATAATTTATTCATCTTGCTTTGCGGAGTACGTTAATTTCAGGATTTTACGTGCTCGACATACGTTAGTTATGGGTTTGCGCATGCGTATTTCGATTTGTTTACAAAAGGTGCGGAGCTATCGCGCTGCATGTTGGGTACTAACGTTAAAGTTAAGGTTAACGTCGTGTGGCGAAAACTACCTACTACCTGGTGTTAAAACATATGCAAAAATGTGCGTTTGACACGTGTTAGACGCACGCGTATTCTTGGACCTGTTCTGATTGGTCGGTTGTTAAGTTTGATTGACATCCAGAACGTTCCATTTGCATTGATATTTTTTAAAGGGTACAGTATATCTTTGTAATGCCATAAACAGTCGCCCTTGTTAAATTGAGTACTACCACTTTTGTTCATAATCATTACATGAATTCTATTTTGTATATTTGTATAATCAATTTTCACCTTTCTATGATTTTTCTCCTCAATTATTATGGGATTGAAGTACTACCCCACAATTGTATAATCAATTTTTACCGATCTATGATACTTTCCCCAATTTTTATGGGATAGAAGTACTACCCCACAAGTCCCTCTAATTTAATATCTAGGTAGATTAAATATGTAATATACAGATTCCAACAGGAATTATGTGAATAGACTCTCTGTACATTTTTTTGTATTTGATGTGTAAATTTTGTAGTGTTGACGCTGGAGGTGAGGGGCAGCAATAGTTAAGTCGGATCTCTGAATGCTCATGTATTTTTGGGGTTATCGAAAATAAATTTTGATCCAATAATGAACAGAGGTCTGTTGTGTTATGTAAATTGTATCCTGAATTGCAGAATACTCGGCCGGTACCCGGGATTGAGACTCGGAATATAATATTTAATAGTAAATTATTATTCATACACAGTGAACATGAGGTAATAATACAAATATATTTAGCTCCAATTCCAAACCTGTGGTTAAAGGCGCGAGAACGTTGTTACCCCTGAACATTTTTATAACATACAATGGCAAAATAGCATTTCTTATATGTACGTACGTGTAGACCTCAATCTACAGTGTGGCAATTGTAACAACTTGACCCACCATGAACGAAGAGGGAAAACGCGTCTCACAAACACGTGTTTTGTTTACGCTTGGGTCCCTATAGGACCATGAAGGAAATAGTTTCCTCCATGATCAATTATCAGAGGGGAAGGGTCACATAGGGTCCGGGTATTCATCAAAATTGGTGTGTTGGCTTCTTAACGACATTCATTTATTAACATTTCACAAGAGCCCCGTCTCCTACCAAAAACCAAACAGCAATTTAAATTAACCTTTGTGTTTGTTGAGTGAGGGCTTAATTTAAATTGCTGTTAGGTAGGAGGCAGGGCTCTCCTGAAATATTGTTAATAAATTCTTATTTGACAAATTAAAACAAAACAATTTTTATGGTGTTATTTTTATATTTCTCTTAAGTTTTTTAAATTTTGCGTAATTTTGTTTTTATCTTTTGTAATAAAATAAAATTAAAAGTTTCGAGATTAGTGATCATTAGTGATCGTGTGTATACTATAGAGGGCGCTGCTTTGGGACTTTCCCTTTCCCGTTTTTAGAGCTAGGCCTAAATGAAATTAGTATAGTACAGAGGCCTAGAGTTTTATAAAAGTAAGACCAAGGTAATCCATAGATACAAGTAAAAAAGTGGTTTATTAACCATGGCTACAAGGAAGTCTGTTGAAGGTATTGATAGCCTGTTGGCGATGATAGATGAGTGCAAGTTATCTCAGGACGTGTATGTGTTATTTTGCGGAGGAGTAGACGCCGCCACTGGCCACAGTTGGTGTCCAGATTGTGTGAAAGGTTAGTAAGCTTCCAAGCCTAGCCAGACCTAGACTTATAGTCTATTTATTACTATTATACTGTCTGGCTGAAGAGTTGTTAACAAACTAGATTGACAGTAAAATTTCCCCCTACTATTCCTGTGACATTATTACTGCTTTATATTATGAAATGTATATCCAACATAAATATCCAATTAATCAATGTGTTTCATTTATTAATTAAATAGCGGAGCCAGTAATTGAGGAGGGATTGAAAAAAACACCAGAAAATAGTATATTCATTTTTTGCTCTGTTGGTGGTCGAGATTAGTAAGTATAAATCATCAGTAGACATTACATATAAGTTAGACAATCCAAACCCTGAATGAGATTAATAATAATAGAATGTTCAATGGGAATTTTCCAAGAGCATAATATTAGATTTTCTGACCCCAAATTCATTTAGTAAACTGATTTTTTTGTTGATTTTTGTCTTGTCTCGTCCTGTTTTATCCGGTTTTTTTTCCCTTTTGTTTCTTTTTTTGTTATTTAAGGCTGTCCCAACACAGAGTTTGTTTACTTATCATCTTGGTTGAGGCTTTACCTTATTCCTTTTTTTGCATTGCTTACTTTTAATTTATAATTAAAATTATCATTTTCTGTTACATGCATGCAAAAAGGAAGTGATTAAATGCTACATTGAATTGAATTGAATTATTAGCAATGGACGTGTTGAGTTTATTTCCAAAGTTGTTGAAGGCTTCATATGATATAATTATTACCTAATATTTCTATTTTTGTAGCTGGAAAGATCTCAATAATGATTTCCGTAAGAATCCACAATTTAAACTTACAGCTGTCCCTACACTGCTTAAACTGGGAACGGTAAGGCACATTTTCCAATATTAAACTTATTATTCTGTAATGCTTTGATGTGCAATTTTGGACCGCCATTGGAAATGGGCCGGACTCAGGCCTAATGGGCATTCCTGATGCTCATTGATTTTTAATTTTTTTTTGTTAAAAAATCATTTTTATCTTGTATTTGCATATCAAGCATTGAATAAATTCAGTGAAAACAATAATTGCCATCTGTCGTATATCAGGTGTCAGTCACTAGTGTAGGCATGTCATGGTTGGTTCTTAAGTACTTGTCACACTCCTTTCCTGTAAGTACAACCCACCACTATGTATATACAGTGTGTATTGTGGAAGGTCTTATACAATAGACAATCATCTACTAATCATTTCTGCTAAATGTACAGAGTTCTTTAACATGCACACAAGCCTATAAAACACAGTGGGGTAATGCCTTAATAGCCAGTCCTGCAGCTTCCTGGGACTGGGGGCAGGCATGGGCGGCACCAGGATTTGCCCGGCGGGACAAAGGTGGCCTCGTTGGGCATCACTCAAAATCTTTTTAAAGTGATCCAGGGGCGAAGCGTTCCCCCCCCCCCCCAAATATATGACAATTTAATGTAAAACATCTGTAAAAACACTCCACTGTTTTTCGAATTTCCATTAAATTTATGTACATTTTCTGTAATTAACTTTGTTATTGTTTTTTTTTATGTCAGTCAAAGCGTTTAGTGGAAGAGGAATGCGCCAGTGAAGAACTTGTTAATATGCTTTTTGAGGACGATTAGGAATGTCGGCCATGAATTGCAGTAGGTCCAGCCACCGCCAGCCAATCTTGTATGCCAGTATATATATGAGATGGTCTCTGATTTTTACTATTGACCAATAAATCAAGAATATGTTAATTATTAAGTATGTGATTTAAATCTGAATGTATTTAAAAGAACACATGCAACAATAAATGATATAGGAAAGATTAGTTTATGTTAGTTCATAATTGTGTAGCAGGCAATAAAATGATACATACACACACACACACATACATATATAAAAATCATTATTTATCACTAGTATATCTGTCTCTTATACACATCTAGATGTGTATAAGAGACAGGATCAATTATCAGAGGGGAAGGGTCACATAGGGTCCGGGTATTCATCAAAATATATATGTGTACGAGAAATTGTCCCCATAATTGGGGTTGTTTTTGGCATGTGAAGCCCAGTCGGCCAAATGCTGCAAGTATTGCTGTATATAATAGAATATTGTGAAGATTTATATTGTATACTGCTACGTCTTTTATTATAATTTTGGAAAGACCATTGCAAATAAAATTCAAACTACTTTTTAAAATAAAGACCATGAGCCAATAATAAGGGGACACCTGCAGGACCAAAAAAAGCGTCCCTTAATAGTGGACCAAAAAGCCCTAACCCAAAAACGAGAAATTGTCCCCATAATTGGGGTTTTTGGCATGTTTTTGTACCCTGATGACATATTCTTCATAATTTTATTTTAATTGACCTAAGAATGAGTTGAAGTTAAATTAGCTACTTTATAACAACTTGCGAAAAGGCAGCTGCCTTAATACACAAAGCTGTGAGGGATTTGGGCGGGTCCAGATGGACGACCATCACCCCTATGGATCCGCCCAGGATTATCATTTAAATAATTATTTTGTGAAGCCCAGTCGGCTAAATGCTGCAAGTATTGCCGTATATAATAGAATATTGTAAAGTATAAAATTGTATACTGCTACGTCTTTTTAGAAAGACCATTGCAAATGAAAGTCAAATTACCTTTTTAAATAAAGAACATGAGCCAATAATAATTTTGTTTATAGTATTATAGCAGAAGATAGGCCTAGGCCTGCTGGTAAAAAATGGATTATGTAATACATGCTAAAATGTGATGGATGTAGACATTCATTATTCGTCACATATTGACTAATTTTAGTGATCAACATGGCCAATTTATAATATACAGTATTTTATTCCATTATATTTAGTAAAAATATACGCGTTTGTATCAGCCGCACCTCACTGAAGTGGTACGTTCCACTTACCTACTACACACTGAATACTCTGCAGCTCCTTTCACTGTACTGTACTAACGTAATTTGAATAATGAATTCTCGCATGTGTTGTTTTGTAGTCTGATAAGTCCTTGTCCAATATTTGTAGATTCGTCGTATTATTGTAAAATTATTTTTTACGATAAATTAGTGGACATAAATAGGAAATCAAAATATGTCAATAATGGTAAGACATTTAAAAGAATGGTGCTATGATATATTTCTACCAGAGCTGTGCACGCATCTAGACAGTAAATCGTTGCCCTTACTCAAATTAGTATATAATAATTTGCAATGCAAATAATAATTCAGATATGTATATTAAAAATCTAAAAGTTGTAGATGTTCCCGATATTGTTTCTTGATTCAAATGCATGTTAACGACCAAATATTCTTTTTTAATATTAAGGCGAGACTTCTTTTATTCCTTGTTTTGCGTAATTATTTATATACATATATATATAAATATACATATCTTATCTTTTGAGGTTTCAAGGGAGCAAAGGGCGTAATGAAAATAAAGGAAAAGTTTTATTTTTTTCTAAAATTTCCACATTTTCGTGGCGGCGGGTGCACTAATTGCCCAAAAATAAAATTATATTTCTATTGGAAATCATCAATATTTGCAGTCAGCAGGTTCACTAAACAAGGTTTAAAAAAGTCTGAGCTTTCTTTTGGATGCACAAGATAGAATAGCATGAATAGAGTAATCACTTATAAATCAGGGTTCAGGCTGTATGGTATATATATATATATATAATATGAAAATACACAAAACAAGAAATCCAATTCTAATGGTCAAAATTGACAAGATTTCAGTTATACCAATGTATATTCTGATTTGATGTAGTTTATTGCTCAAAATTTGAATGATTTTTTATTTTGAAACTACTATAGTTGTTTTGATACAATAAAAACAAATGTGTCTCCTAATAGGGGTTAAATTATATTGATTGGACTGATTAACACTTAAAAATGTGTCCTGTCCCCTTAATAAGGAGGGGTTCTATTTGGATATACATATATAAATATATGTATATAAACTAAACTGAATATGACAAAGAATATACATTATCAGCCTATATATATATGTATTATATATGTATATGTATATGTATTATATATGTATATATGTATATATATATATGTATGTGTATACAATTCAATTTAATTTTTATTTATTTCTATCAACTCAAAATAAAATACATAATATAATATCTCTACATAAATGATTAAAAGAAAAGGAGGAAACAAAAGTAATTTCCTCATACTTCTCTAATACACAAAGTAAACATTTTTTTTTTAATTTCCAGATGCATTATAAATTAACATATGGTACAATAAAATATTCTTTAGTAAAAAATAACATACTCTTCAATATTTATATTCCATTTTTTTATTTTTTTAAATTTTAAAATGAAGAAAAATTATTTAATTAAAAATAGTATAATTATATTTATGTACCACATACATTATGGCATTTTTCACAACATTTAATTCTATGAAAATAACGTTAGTTCAAACATAACATCTTTGTTTTCATGATCCTTTGGTACCATAATTTGGGAATCAGCAGAAAACGTCTAGGTGAAAAAAGTCATGGTTTTTGTTGAAATTTTGTTGAGTTTTTTTTTACGCTGCCATTTTTCCGGTTGTTTTGTGTCCTGAAGCACCTATATATGGATCATACGAATATGTTCTGTGGCACCTACGGGTACTACAAATGGAAGAAGCACCAAAAAACGACTAGATGAAAAATAGCTCATTTTTGGAAAACAAAAAAGGCTGTGTATGTGCAAGTGTATGTGTGTGTGTGTATATGTACAATGAAAAACAGGATACGATCAAATAGACTTTTTAGAACACTATTTTATTTAAACAAGAATATTTCTACCTGTCATCAGGTGTTCATCACCACGACTGATATACAACAGTATGATCAAATGTTGGCATAATATTATGTCTAGCTGGGGATTAGAAAGAGTTAACTGGTAGCCACAGAATTATAATTACAAATGGTGTGACTGGGACTATAAACTACTTAATAATCAAGGTAAATATATGCATGTACAGTATATGTATGTGCATTCATATACAGGTACAGTATATAAAAACTGGAAGGCTGCATTGGCAAACAAGATAGTAAATTACAAAAAAAAACTCTGGAAAGATGTTGCCAGGTATATTTATTAAATCCAAATTATGTAAATTATTAACATTTCTCAAGCATTTTTGTTACTATAGGCCTAGGCCTAATTCTAGTTTTTAACAGCCAACCATAACTAATCCCCATGCATTTTGGTTGATAAAAACCTCGGGGCTGAAATCAAAAGTTAATGAATCCAATTTTTAAACCTCATTCAAGCATTTTAGGCCACTCTGCAAAATAAAAGCTGACTTATATTTTGTTTCTCTCAGGCTTGGCCTTGATATAATTCTAGGAAGCTGACAAATGCATGTTTGCAAAATTGTTTGACATGCGTTGAAAAAAGAATTGAATAGGATTTTGTGAATAAAAAAAAATTCTGTTCCTGGGTTGGTGTCTGGAAATGGAACTTTCCAGACTGTCAATCAAACTTAACTGACCAATCAGAAGACTGCCAGGAATAAGTGAGTATCCCACAAACGCACATGTTTACATATTTGTTTACACTGTCGTCTTGTGAGATCTTAGGAACAATATGCAAGGGGCAGGGTTTAGCGAAAGGTCCATTCTACCAGTTTCAAAAGCGTGTCCATGTTTATGATGGACAACTAAAAAAATGTCAGTCATACTGCAAGAATCAGTAGCAAGCTTAAGCGGATCCAAGCAGACCATGTTTCCAATACGCCAGTATCCCTATTTTTACACGCTGATTAAATTTTCTGATCTGTTTGGTAGGCTTTCCGACCGAAACTTTAGATTCAGTGTAAATGAAACTAAATTCACAATCTCAGTAGGTAAATGGGTAGAGCATTGCTTTTTGTTGGTAGATAAAAAAAATGCTTATAATTTCAGTCAAAAGCATGATACAGCTTCACTCAATAAGCCAGTACGTGTGGAATTTATCCATTTTGCCTGCAAACAAGCCAGACGGTGGCTCAAACTCGAGCGGGACATGTCGCACTTTCTTCTTAATTTCAGTGAAAAACATCTGAAAAATAATAAGAATTAAGATTGTTATTTTTTATGTTTTTAATATCCTTTAAATGGCCAATGATCCTCAAATGGCCTGCCAGCGGGACTAAGCATAATCCATAATGTATCCATAGGGGGATTGGGGATGTGCAAAGATGGACCAACTGAGGTCAGGGGGCAAAACCATTTGAATCGCAGTTTTGATTTTTCATTACGACAAAAAATAGATTGCTGGTTAAAATGTAAAAATTTAAGACTACCTTTTAATTTGAATTACAGAAAATAACAAATGTTATATTTAGTACATTCATGGACCTCTCCTATTGGGGAGGGGAGGAGAATGTGTATGCACCCATCACACCCCCCTAGATATCGACCTGAGACCACTGACACAACAAGATGCGCTCTCCTAGATAACATTAAACATGGAATTACACATGAGGAATTTAAGGACAGAAATAAACATTCCAAGACTAAACAACATTAAATGCAAAAGAAAATTTTACTTCTAAGATACATAAAAATTGAAGTACAGTTAAAGATATACAAACCTCATCATACGAACTTTCATAAAATTCAGTTAAGTCCCATTCCACCTTAGGGAATGGTCTTGAAATACTTCCAGCTGATGTGGCCACATTAGGGCGTAGTGTAACTTCAAGGTCTCTAGTTCCCAGAGGGAGCTCTCCAGTGCCTTGCACTTGGAAGGATCCATTTCCTCCACCAGGAATGGGTCATCTGAAGTAAATATTAACCATATTTTATTATCCATCGGTTAGGACCTTACTACAACACAGTGATATCTTTACACTGTCTCAGGCAATGAGAACAGGTAAATGTCACCCCCAGTGTTTTGTTTTGTGGGAGTGGAAAATCATAAGAGCAGATGGTTATACAATACACTGTACATTTAAATGTTTTCAACAATTTTCGACCTATGAGCTATAAACCATGAAGCTATATAAATGCTAGAATGCAAAGTAGCATACACTGTAGTTCCTCGGGTATAAGCCCACTTCAGACAAAAGCTCAGTGTATGAACTTTATAAATATTCTCAGAAAAAATATCTAATATTGGCTTTGAATTAGGCATACAGTGCTAAAAATTGCAAATGGATTGAAAAGGGGATTCCTCAGGTATAAGTCCATCCTCAAAAATTGGCCCAATTTTGTGTTCAAGGGAATTGGGCTTCCAGAGGAATGGTACAAGCATAGTTTTATTGAAAGCATCAAAGATGTATTATTCAGGAATTTTTCAGAGTATATGCAGTTTTTATCCAAGGATATATTTAGGATTTATTCACTGTATATTGCATAGAATATCAAGGTTTTTTTCCCTACGATTTATTCAGTGTATAAATGCAAACCATTAGATACCTTTTAATGGTTCGGAGTGTCTGGTTATAAGCACCTTGCAAGTTGGATGTCGTTTGATCAAGTTGCAAACGAATGGAACGACAAGCATTACAGCCGGAGGTGGTGCAGTTAATGCCAATCTCGACAATTTCTTTGCAAAGGCAGCGACTAGATATGCTGGCAAATGCCTAGTGGAAACAAAAGAAATGTTTTTCGCAAGATTTTAATAATATGACATCTTTGTCCATTGAGTATTTATAAAGGCATGTGGTAAGTTTGTTTCTTTTATATTTAATTGAAATTAAATAGAAGCCACAGGTTAATTCTCTGCAATTTGATTGGTTATTCTCTACATATTGGTACCTTGTAACTGTACATACGCAAGTCAGATTGTATACATAAGTTATTCCTGAAGGAAGATGAACTAATAAAGTTTGAAATATTGAATCACAAAGGCTTGTACTGTATCCACAGTTTCTTTCATACTATCTTATGTCAAACTTATTGTTGAACCAAATGGTTTTTAAAGATACAGTATATTAAACCACATTTGTAAATGCAAAGCTCAATTACTGGCATATATTATTGTATGCATTTATATAATATAATAATTATGTATATTATTAAATTATATTAATTATACTTCTGTTTATTGATAATACTTACGAAGACGACAGAAAAAGATCAGCAAGATAAAAGAAGCGGGCCTTGTATTTAACATGAAATATTGATGGCACCAATAATGAGTACAATTTCTTGTAAAATTCAGGATATTCTCTAAAAAAAAAAAAAAAAATTAAAATATTTGTATGTTTATTACTGATGTCATATTACATAACAATCACATAAAAATGTATATAAGATACTATATGAAATATATGGTCATACTTACAGATTATGTTGTGTCATCAAGATAAATATAGCATTGAGGGCTAGCAGACTAATAGCACCACCTAGTAACAAATGAATATAACCACATGATAACAGAAACAACAGTATTACATGCCCATATACAGACACATCATAACTATATATAGGCAAACAACAGTTTTTTGTCACAGAAAATTTGATAGAGTGGGGAGTTTAAAATCTGAACAGGACTAACCTCTGGGAAGAATCCAGAGTTCTTCAAACGGGGAAGGGGGGGGGGAGAACAACATTTTCAGAATAGTAAGTTAGTAGCACTTATTTCAATACATAATATTGATATGCTTAGTAATATTAAAATTTAGTGGGAAAACATGCCCCCGATGGGGCCCCATCGCCTGACCCAAGTCTCACATTGAGTCTTAGGGCGTGGAAATGAATAATTCTCAAACTTACCAATATTGTATGATGCAGTGAGAAAATCAGTCAGCATCACCGGGCTGCTCATATTAGGTATAATCTTATCATGCATCATAAAAAGAACTTTCTTATAGACATGTAGAGGGAGGGACAGCAGAAGAAAGGACAGCCATGCATTTGAAAATGCTTTACGTTGCTCCTAAAAACAAACAAAAATCAAATATTCATTCCAGTTATAAAAATACACACTGCATAAAGTTTTGTTTTGTAGAGGTGGTAGCAAAAAAGGATGTTTTTTTGTATGAGAACTAATAATAATTATGTGGAACTGTAGGTTGGTGGTTAAGATGCCTGGATTCAATTCCTGTCAAGGTAACAAGGTCTTCTCATGACCAAAAACAACTCCACTCCCTAAGCCTTATAATGAGAATTAGGGCATCTTGTGTGAAGTTTGTTCTGTGAAGGATTGCTAATTAGTAAAGTGATTAAGTTTGCAATTGGCATATCCTTGACCTAAAACTAATCATATCTGTCAGTTACAAATTTGGAAAACTCACTGTTACCAGAAGAAGGATATGGGACATGCAAATCCTCATAAATATGCAAGCAAATATTGTAGTGTAAACCCAAATCAAGAACTCTAAGCTCATAGCTTCAAAGTGCCCATTTGAGCAAGCTGTCCAATGCCTTGGGAGAGGGGAAGACACACCTTGCATAAGAGTCTGCTTTTTTTCCATTTGTATTTCTGGGTGTTAAATTGCTTTACACAAGGACAAAAATGAATGCACAGCAAGATTTTGGAACCCCTGACATCATGATGGGGAATCCAGACCACAGTCACAATTTATAAAATTTTGAGTATAATCACCTTTAACTGTGTTGCTCTTATCTCTTCATCATCAGGAGGTAGTGGAGTTAAAAAATTGATCAAAGTGTCCTCTTCTGGCATGGTAACCTGCTCCAGTAAACACAGAGTGTTCTTGCAAAACATCTCTTCTTCAACCTAAAGTATACCAATTTTCGAATATTTCACTCAATATTTCTGCGGTCACAAACTTAATCTAAAATCATGTATTTTTTTAAATATGCTTATACGGTAGCTACTTTCTTCAGAATACGACTAATATTGTTTTTTCATTACTTTGGTATAAACAATTTCCCAGACTTTTAAAGCCAGGTTGAGAGCCAGGCGGAGGAGAAAAATGTTTTGATACAGGGGCAGATCCAGTTGGGGGGAGCACAAGGGGCACGTGCCACCCGTTTTGCCACTAAATCTTAAAAATTTCAATGCATATTAATGTTATGTGCTACTCACATATCTATTCTGAAACAGTTGTGCCCCCTAATGCACCCCCCTCCCCATTTGAAAAATTCTGGATCCGCCCCTGTGATATGTTGTACAACTGATTATTCTAAGACACAAATAGCATATTTGACAAAAACTCAGAAGTGGTTAATGAGATACAATTTTTTGAATATTTAAAAACTAGGGGGAAAGGGGTGTAACCCCATTTTTCCACCTTTTTCTCCCAGTTTTTAAATATTAAAAAATTTGTATCTCATCATTAACCGCTCCCAAGTTTATCTTCAAATATGTTTTTTGTGTCTCAGAAAAATCAGTTGTACAAAATATTCTTAAAAAAATGATCCTCCAGTGCCTGGCTTTAAGCATAATTTGGACATTCTTCACAATGTATTAACTTAAAATGAATGAGGATTTTTTTTCTATTACATTGATGGTCTTTGTTATTACCTTTCTCTGTCCATGTTCCACTTTTTGCATTCTGCAATTCATTTCTCGTATCTTTCCACTGACAACCTCTAGGGTGTAATAACGCATGTCATCATATTCTAAGTATTCCTGAAACCTGACCATAAGATGGCTGAAGTCATTTGTACATGACAACAAACACGTCAATAATTTCTGTGAAGATAGCATTAAACATTGTATAAGTTTGATTTATGATTTGATATATACTGTATATTTAGGTACACTGGCAATTTAGCTATATATTATTCATATATGTGAATCAAAGTACTGTAACTACATAGGCCAAGTGACAAAATGAAACCACAGTCAAACAGATAGTCCAGTCAATCTGTGGTTTGACCTAGAACTAATTGCAACAGAAATAATTTTTGAGGAATCTGTTCCAGAAATATACAGTACACACAATAAATAAAAGTTCGCAAAAAAATCAATCAGGAGAACATTGTTAAACTTAAAGATATTTAATGAGTTAACATCTAACGGTTTATTCTGTCACATCGCCAAGCTGCTGCATTGAAGTGTAGGAAAGCCTGTTGTTGCTAACAAAAAAAAAAAAGAAAATAAGATAGACACATGTACGCGAACACAGTTGAATGAAACCATGAGCACTAGTAACACAAATTTCAACGCGAAGTGTGCGCGCACTGTTCTCATTATATAAAAAATGCATTCCTAACTAGCCCCTACCCCACCATGACCATACAATCAAGAAACTAAACACGGTCACAAAGACAACTTACACTGGGATACTTTTTAAAATTAGCGATCGGAAATGTTAAAAACTATTTAAAATCCTATCAATGTTTTCTACTATTTTTATTAACAAAGTATATTTTTTTATTTGTTAATCGTTCAGTAGACCTAATATATTAAGTAGGTAGGCAAATAATAAAGAAGCTCTTGGGAACAATTTTTGTACCACAATCTTATCTGTGGTTGTTTCGCCTATATCGAATACAGTTATGTGTTAGTACTTCACCTAAATGCATAATCTTTTTATCTCCTATTTTATTTTATTTACCTACTATTCCCAATTTCATACAAGTGGTTGAAAATAACATCAACATTCTCTCTGGCTTCAAATGTCAATTTAACAGAAAACCTCCGACCAGCAGTGGCTACAGAAATTTGCCCACCGGATTTCAACATGCCCGGCATCCGAAACAAGGGGCTGACTTCCACTTTCCCCTCCTCCACCCCACTGGCGCCACCATTGACTCCGACCATAGAGCAAAGGAACTTTGCTCTATGATGATCAAACCAAAACTTGGGTAAAAAAAGTACTTTTTTAGACCATCCTAAGGAGCTTTGTCTTACCTTGTCTTCATCCTTGCAGTATGACCAGGGGTGGTGCCATGGAGAAAAACCACTATTGAGGAAACATTATATGTATTTACTACTATATTTACTAGACTCTAAAAATAGATTAAATAAGCCTTTAAAACCCCAACATTTTCATATTTTTCCAGGGCTACGCCCTAGGACCACTTTCGGGTTTTTAGTGATATCCGCCCACCCCCACTTTGTTTCGATGGGGACATCGTTCACACGTCGGGGATCTCTTACCTCCCTCCTAATCAGGCAAATCATGGCACCACCCCTCAGTATACCCAGAACAACATTATTTTAGAGTTAATAGGCCTATTTCTAGTATTAAACCGAACATATTTTTGATTTATTGATATTCCCTAAGTGGTTTTATTATAATCTTAAAGAATGATCTACACCTATGGAAATGTTGAATTCTAAATAATACAAATCGTTTTTAAAAATCTATTTTATTGCACTAAACTAACCTTTACATATCTACACATCATTCTACTCTATTATTTTCCACATTTTTAATGTTAAAACAACACTTTTTAAGGATTTAATGATCGTTTCTGCATGAGAAATGCCTGAAATCATAAACTTTGAAGGCTGATTTCTCATATATTGTTTAAACAGCTGTATGTTTAAACACTTGTAACTTCATAAGGAAATGTCCAATTTGAATGATTTCTTTACCATTTTATAGCTATTACTTTACTCTCTAAAACTGTATTAATAACTCAAAATCTATTTTTGCGACGAGTGACTGGTTTGGCTTGTTTTTGCCACATATATATATACATATATATTGTAGATACTCAGTATGCATAGATAAATAGACCAATCATTTTACAGTTTTATAAGTATTTCTCATTTGCTCTTTGTCACCTTTATTTTTTGTTGTTGATAAGACAGCCTATATTATATTGATTCATGATGTTTTCCTTATTCTCGCTGATGAAGGCCACAGGAGTGGCAGAAATATCCGAGTTTATAATAAATCAGTGTTCTTAAAGTCTACTACTGAAGTTGTTTCATTATTTTCTATTATTCTGTCGGAACACACGTGGAACACAAATGAAATATACATATATATATATATACATATATATATATATATATACCTTTATTCGGCTCTTAAGGGGAAACTCTTTTGTCTATGATTTCCCCTTAACGTCGCTTTAGTTTCCTCTTAGCGACACTACTTTCGCCTTAAAGGGGGGGTGCGGGGATGAGACAAGTGGCCATATATTGCTTATTTAACCTTTCCTGAGTTCGGGAAAAATACTTCAAAAATTCAAAATGTTGAGATGTAACGATAATTAGAGAAACAAAACATGATGTGATGAGACGGGAACATCATGCTATGACCATATACAGGCACATCATGACTACTACATATATGGGCATACACCAGTTTGAAAATTTGATAATCTGGACAGACCTTTATATTACCTCCAATGGTGACCTTGGGAAAGTGTACTGCAAATTTTGAGTGTGTTTAAGTGGATGCCTAGACTCAGCTTCCAGCAGTTTGATTACTGTACACATAGCCAACTCCTGGCAAGAAGAAACATTTCATGTCAAACGTCAGGAGTTATTGAATAAGGAAGTGTGACCGAAATAAATATTGATCTGTTAAAGCAATAAATTGTATCATACTGTTTCCAATTTTGTTCATATCCAATTTAAAATCAATAACACAAATATATATATACGGATAATCTTGAGCTATTAAAGTTGTTGCCTGCAGTCACGAATGTTCATAGTTTGGTTTGCTAGTCCTTCTTATGGGTTTCGAAGGTTGGAGTATTTAAATAAAGTTGAGTTCCCACCAAAATATCTACTGTATATATAGCCAATACATCCAATATTTAAACCGTTGGTCCTGTTTGCATTTTGGCCCATGTGCACATTATAGAATGTAGTACACTCTTAAAAAAAAAATAGGAATTCTCCAAACGTGTATTCCCCAATTCACCACCTGAAGGAACCCACTAGAAATAAGTCTTGGGATTAGTGGGTTATCCTTGGTGTGATTCACACCAAAAATACTCCTACCCTCCTAAACTAAACATTCATAGCTCTGTACCTGAGTGACTGATTTGGTATCTTTACTGGCAATCACATCAGTGAGACATTTAATGCAGTCCTTGTATCTTTCTTGCAACCACTGTTTATATTTCTTTTCACCTTCATTGTTATCTGTTAAGACCATTTCCTCTCGCGCAAGCAGGACAGTAAACACCCTGCCGAGTCCTTTGATAGCTGCTGAGACAATTCTCTTATCTGATTCCTAAATGAATTATGAATTGTGAATAAAATTGTTGAAATTAAACACTGGATCTTGAAAAAATCATTAAAAATAATAATAAAAGGTTATCCACTATATAAATGATACTAGGCCTAGAAAAAAAAACAATAAAATGAAGTCTTTTCACACTCAATCTGATCTTTAATAAACTTTGCTTTGATAATTATGAGGACCATCAGAGCCTTAACATCATACCTCCTTGAACAACCTCCAGTTTATGTGTGGTCCTGATGGTGTACGGTAAGAATGGTCCCGGAAAAAATTGCCCCGGAAAAAATGGCCCCGGAAAAAATGGCTAAATATGACATGTAGGTAAAAATGGCCCCAATAATCAAATTCTGTATTAAAACTGATTTTCTTGAGTCAATATATGCATTTTTGTATCTTAAATAATTTAGTTTTTAAAAGGAATCTAACATCAAACAAATTGCCATTTACAATTTACTTTTTGCAAGAATTAATATTCAATGATAAAATACTCAAAGATAAATAAAGTCATGAATTACACTTTTTATTTTTTTTTTCCATTTAAATGTTAAAAAATGGCAAAAACAAAATCAATAAATCAACATAAATCATGCATTTATTAATACTAAAGTAATTTACTTGTGGCCGATTTCACGGTAGAGGAATCACAATTTTCCAGAAATTCAATCTGTGTATTGGTAAACCCCACAAACAGTGGGTTAGTATGAACATAAAATTATTATTATTTTATTTTAAAGTATAAGAGAGTTCTACAATCATAATTATATGGTTTAGATGGGGTTTACAGTGTGTTTAGAGGTTTGTGTTGTATTTGCAAGTATTTTTTCATAACAAAATCTAAATTTTAACCAAAAAATAGTTATGAATGTATTTAATTTTCTTATTGATATACCTAGTCAGTCAATCAGAATTGAATTGTTAGATTTTCTACAGTGTGTTTTGGGAGGTTTGTTGTATTTCCCACTTAATCCTACCATAATCACCCAACCCTCACAATCACACGCCATTTTAATTCTTAGCATAATTGCCATACATAACTATATATAATACTAAGCCAGTAGTAGGCACTTGGATTTAGTTAGTGATGAGTAAAAACCAAGTATGCAACTAAATTAGTTGCTTAAATAAATGTATTCCTAATTATTCAGTTTACTAAAAGCAATACTTCTTTGAATAAGCAGACAATTTATTGCTAAGTTTGTGAGAAAGTAAGCCTCTCCCTTTTCCCATACATGAACTTGTGATTCAAACACACAATTGATCCACATGCTTTAACTACTGTTTATTTGCATTGTTTATAA